AGAGGCAGACCAGCTCGCAACAAACAGCGCACACTAGGCCAAAGGAGAGCACCAGAGACAGACCAGTTCGCAACAAACAGTGCACGCTAGGCCGAAGGCGAGCATCAGAGGCAGACCAGCTCGCAACAAACAGCGCGCACTAGGCAAAAGGAGAGCATCAGAGGCAGACCAGCTGGCAGCAAACAGCACGCACTAGGCCAAAGGAGAGCACCAGAGGCGCTCTCGGCGCCCTGGTGCCCTCCCCCAGCAGCATCAGCACTCCTTTGCTATGCGCAAGGTCAGACCTGCTCTCATTCAAATATTGCCCGGAGACGGCGACAGTATAGCACCAGAGCAACTCACGGACATGTCAAACCTCGGAAACACGTCTGTGAATACCCGTAAATCAATTATTTCCTGTGGATGGCCGGCCGCATTAAAGATGTTGCAATCAGTTAATGGCGATGGTGATCGAACTCAGAAAACTCGCTAGAAATTGTTTGCCAAGTGTGCGATGTAAGAATGCCATTAATACCGAATCAAATCAAAATCAAATGGCAGAGGCCTTATACATTTCAAGAGACACTACACATTTTAACTTAGTCCTTCACCGACACAGTCGAATATATAAGCCCCATCACCATCCCCAAATACCAACGGACTACAAAATCAGCGTGGTCAACATGTTCTATACCGTTCGTCTCAGACGATCAAATCATCAGCGTAGGATAAAAGCTTAAATGGGACTGCTGTCAGTCATGAGAGGCCACAAACGACGTCTTGAGTGGTCATACGTCGTTGAAATGGGCGATTCTATGCCAACAAATATGGGCTGAAACGATTTGAGCTAGGCACCCAGCAACGAAATATAAGAACTCGCAAAATATCGTAACATGCATGCGTGGGCTTATCTACCCCTTACAAGTCGCTGAGTCCTTTCCTGTCTGGTATGACTGCATATCGTCAAAACACAAAAACGGTTGAATGCGCTCAAATGTTCCGCGGTCCGTACCCCAGCGTCGCTAGCTGTGGTGACCCTGCTCATATGTGACAAATGTGTGCGTGCGTCATAGCAGCTGACCGCGCCGCCTCTGGTTCGTGATTCATTGTGCACGGCTTTATCAGTTAACGCTCGCTTCTGCCTGCATGGACGACGCCACAGCCTTTTGAAGAGGAAGGCAAGGGGGAGACAGTTGTACCATGTTGTGGCCTCCACCTTAAATAGTAGATTACGTGGCTAAAAAGGCTGCCCATTACATTGCCGTTTTGATTTCAACTGTAGGTATCAGATAATGCAGTACTTATTTAAGTACAGGGAACTTTCCTAGAAACACCGATGACCATGGAGTTGTAACTTCGTAACATAACTAATACGCACAACGTAGCTGGCACACGCGACTACATAATACATTATAACATACTATAACTATCGTAGCATAACTAATACGCACAACGTAGCTGGCACACGCGACTACATAATACATTATAACATACTATAACTATCGTAGCATAACTAATACGCACAACGTAGCTGGCACACGTGACTACATAATACATTATAACATACTATAACTAACGTAGCTAACGTAACACGAGACAAACTTGATTATGCTTCCTTGCACGCAAAGTTATGTTATTTCTGTGAAGAAAATCTGAACGAACCCTTCTAGAAATCAGTGTGAAAATACGATTAGACCTTTGTAAGTTCCAATGGTTTGCAAGCTGGCAGCGCTCATACAATTAGTTACCCATCATCGAAAACGTCTACATTACTGCCACCCATATTAATGGGGCCTCCTCCTGATCATGACAATGGCCTTCCATCAGTCGTAACATAGGCCTGCTCTTAGCCATGGGACTCCTCCACCTAGTTCAGAGATGGTTTCCTGTCGCACCACTGACCTCACCCATGCAATGTGTCCTGAATTCCGGCCGGGTCTCAGGGATGGCAGGAGGCTCCTGTCACTTATTGGGTCTCCATCACACGAGATCGTTACATCTGCATTCCTGATGTTGCACCACTGACTTCAACCATGCAATGTGTCCCGAGTTCAGGCCGGGTCTCATCTGCATTCCTCCTCTCTCCGCCCCATTCATGCAGTTAGCACAGCTTCAGCCGATCATACCTCATCCCTTCCCATCTCGTAGCTGGACATCCACCCTTGATCTTGACCATGCTGGCTTTGGTCAACGGCGGTATCAGTACTGCTGGCCATGCGCAATAGACCTTTAACGCTCTCGATAGATCTGACATTCCTGGTGCGCCAACAGATGAAAGATGGAACTAAGAGATAAAAGGTGGATACCGGGCGGTGTGGTTGGTGCCGCCATTGGGCGTCGCAGGAAAGCGTGTCGCATACCGCAGCGCCACCTATAACAAGTTTGATGGTGTCTCAATTCCGTGCTCTGTTCCCTCCAGCGCAACGGTTGTTAAATTCGTGTAAATGCAGTTGGTTTATTGTTTATATAATTGCGTTGTTAATCATACGTTGCCCCACACACGCCGCTGTATGCCAAAAATGTTGGAATTACGCCAAAAATCCACGAATTTCCGTTTGGCGAAACTGGCCACCGGTCGTTTATGTATGGCCAGCTATGAACATAATCCACGAGCAAACTTCATTAGCCTCCCAAGGACATGTCGTTCTCAAAGTGTGTAATCTGCTATAAGCTTCGTTTTACAGCAACTGCAGCTTTTGGTTAGCGTTACCCACTACCTTGTTACATTAAAACCCACTGTTTTTCGGCCGAAGACTACCTTTCTTTTCTATGATGCAGTTTCACGTTCCATGGTTAGTGTTGTGCTCCGGCCCGCTGTTTTTGTCTTGCTGTAGCCCGTGGTCAGCTAATGTTCTGACTCTAACTTATCAATTACTTCCAGTCTCACCTGCGCTGCTGAAATGCATCTTCAGTGATGAGGAGATTATTGTACACTGGCAGGCTACCGCTCTTTGTCTATTTAGTTAGTTTTCTTAGCCTGTTAAAAAGTTTTCCTAGCCTTAGCCCGCTCCATAGCATGTTTTGGGTTCATCGCTGGTAACCTTTAGCTTACGATTATCTAGGTCTAGGCAATTAGAAGTTAATTTTGGTGCCATTACTGACATCGCCCACAAGTTCATCAACCAAGTTCCCTGCCTGAAAATGCGAACATAATGTACCAGTAAGTACTCTGCCATGAGTCCTTGTTTGTAAAATGTATTAAATTTGGTGTGTGTGTGTGTGTGTGTGTGTGTGTGTGTGTGTGTGTGTGTGTGTGTGTGTGTGTGTGTGTGTGTGTGTGTGTGTGTGTGTGTGTGTGTGTGTGTGTGTGTGTGTGTGTGTGTGTGTGTGTGTGCGTGTGTGTGTATGTGTGTGTGTGCGTGTGTTAACACCCGAGTTTGCAGTAACCTGACCATCAATAGTTAGCGAGATATTTTTTTGTTTATTTGAACCAGCCCAGTGCACTGCTTGGCGTTGTCCCACGCTAACACGAAGGTCACCCGAGTATTCGCGTCGAAAAATTGAACCTGACCAGTGTACACATTGGTGACAAGCATAGATGGTGACTGGCCATGATTAATAAATAAAAACAGGTCCTTAGTGAACATAAAGGCACATCGGTCCCGACCGACGTCTCTGAATCACGCCGCACGTGGCCGGAAATGGCGCTCCACGGCTGCGACACCCCGTGACAGTTTCTCAGCCTGCCTCGGAGCCCGTGGCCATCAGCCCGCACCATGGCAGCTGCTCCAGGAGGTGGGAGTGCCCCACGCCGCACGTGGCCCGGAAGAAATGGCGCTCCACCGGCTGCGACACCCCGTGACAGTTTCTCAGCCTGCCTCGGAGCCCGTGGCCATCAGCCCGCACCATGGCAGCTGCTCCAGGAGGTGGAGTGCCCCACGCCGCACGTGGCCGGAAATGGCGCTCCACCGGCTGCGACACCCCGTGACAGTTTCTCAGCCTGCCTCGGAGCCCGTGGCCATCAGCCCGCACCATGGCAGCTGCTCCAGGAGGTGGGAGTGCCCCACGCCGCACGTGGCCGGAAATGGCGCTCCACCGGCTGCGACACCCGTGACAGTTTCTCAGCCTGCCTCGGAGCCCGTGGCCATCAGCCCGCACCATGGCAGCTGCTCCAGGAGGTGGGAGTGCTTCACGCCGCCAGAGCTATCGTTGCACCCGTCGTCGTGGGCGTCGTGGGAACGCTTCGGCTCGTGTTACTGGCTAGCACGATGAAAGTGCAGGGCTTCGCCGACTCCGTGGAGCGATTCGGGAGAAAATGTGGACGGTCAGGATGCATTGCGTGATGTTTCGTTGGTTGAACAACTTCGCCGTGAATGTTGTTGATTTGTCAGATGACCACGGCATGAACTCGGTTAAAAGCCACCCAAACCGTTTTCCTTTTATTGTCCCCGAAAAATATTCACACATGGGTCAAATGTGCATGCAACCGAAAAATATGTATAAAAAGCATTTAATACTATCAAAGGATATCATTCGTCGGGGAAAATGGTTCGCCGGTGTCAGGTTTGTACAAACTGTTGATAAGTGGTCTTCGAATTATTTGGGTACAATCTCACAATCAAAGCTTCCCGATCGGCCTGGAACGGAGATCAGGTTTCAATAGAGTCATGGAGGTAAGGCTTACGCCACTTGATTTTTGAACCTTATATGCTGCTTACTTTGCTGATTCAATCATTACGCAATTAAGAATTAAGTGCCAAAGATATGGCACGCATGAAACCGGAATGATGAGATGTATGATATTAAAATAAGCCCTAACGGGTATGTGCATTGACAGACAACGCCATGCGCAAGGATTGCGCAGCGAGATAAATCAAATAGCACCCACGACACTAACAAATTACTGCCGATGGAAAATGAGCATGCGTTTCAAAACAGCACCACGAAAGAAGCAAGCAGCGGACATGCTTATCTCTTCACCTTCCAAAAGTTCTCAGCAGTCATGGATCACCGGGTGACCTGTTCTCAGCTCTGACCGGTCCTGGCCTGCATCGTCTCCGCGGTCATCACGCCACTGTCTGCTAGCGCCGGCAGCAGCCCTTGCCAGTCTTCTCCTGGTTGAGGAGCTGCAGGCGACGCGCCGCCTCATCCGGGTCTTCTTGCATGGCCAGGGACAGCCGCTGCTGCTGCATGCTCATCATCGGGTCGAACTGCGCGCGGCTGCCGTCCTGGTACTGCAGTGTGCCCGGCCCCATGTCCTCGGCCGTGTTCTTGCCGAACACACGCTGGAACATGCTCTTGCGTCGCACCTGCTGCTGGGCATACGGGTCGACACAGGCGCCGCCCGGACCGAACGGCGCGCCGGGAGTCATCATCTGCTGCTGGAAACCCATCTGGTTCTGCGGCAGCTGCACGCTGGCCTGGAAGGCGGACATGTTGGCGCGGAAGGCCAGCTCTCGCAGCCGCTGGTTCTCGGTGCGCAGGTACTGCACCTCGGCCTGGTCCATAGCGCGCGTGCTGCGCTCGTTCGTCAAGCGCTTCTCGCCGTCCATGATCTGCCGGTGCATAGTCGGCGTCAGGCGCTGCCTCCCCTCCCCTCGCTTCCGTTGTCGTCCTGCGGACGGTACAGCGTTTGAGAAGACGCCTCTTGTCCGCTGGTACCGTCATGCTGGTAACATATCGGATTTATGATTCGCAGACATGAGAATCGCCGAGTCTGTATAGTTATTAAACCTACATTTGCACGGTCAGCTACACGTCAGATCACGGACATGTATGGTCGGAAAGTGATATCCAGCAGACAGAAACGTGACCTTTGAGATATCTTCCATGGACTGCAAACATTCCCTTTCGGATCAGCTTATTGTGGTGTGCAGCTGTTTTAAGAGAAACGTAATCAGAAAAGTGCGAAAGAATGCATCGCTCTGACGTACTGGAGTAGAATAATCAAAAGCGGGCGTCATTTCTTCGTGAAAGGAAGTGTTTCACATTTATAAGGGGGTTTTGAACTGAAATAGCCATCTTGCAGACCTTTCAGTGCCGTTCACAATCCTGCCCTTCTTAAGACCTAAGCCGCTCTAGTTGCTGAGCTCCATACGTGCTAAACCGGGAAAGGTATATCGGAGAGTGTTTCAAAGTCTTCTTGGCATACCTGACGTGACAATAGCCTCGTTCAAATTCTGGCATTCCATAAGCCATGTGGTGATCGAGGCAAAACAAAAATGTTTGAAGCGTTCATATCTGGCGTTTGCGAGCACGACTTCCAAATACAACGCCCATCGATTGGTTCTCAATCCATGTTGTACAAGGTACGGTGACGTAATCAAACCATGACGCATTAAGGACCATGTTTAATAAACAGAAAATTGTGATGTCTACAACGTTCTTTTCGTTAAAAGTGAGCTTGTTTCATCATATCTGATACTTGCCTTAATATTTTTATATGTGAAACATTCCCTTTAAGCAATCGAGTTAATAGTGCTTGTGCTTCATATACCTGTCCAAGTAAAAATGTCGCTGAGCATACCAACGTATTTGTCAGCCTGTCTGGATATATCCGGCATGCCAATGCGGGGCGCAATCTTCAGCGATCGTTTCAGCGATTTATTGATGTCATACTAATATCGACTTTATGGAGCACCTTGTAGCGCGTTCGCGGGCGTGGGAGAACAGCCTGCCCTGATGCTGAGCTATTTCCCATAGCTTCATATTGCGGTTCGCAGCTGAGCGCGTCGTCACTCGAAGCTGTGTAACATGAGCTGCACTTCCTGAGTGATAAAGGTCCTCCCCTTTGGCCGTCCCGGCCGGGGCGGACCGGACCATGCTGAGGTCGGTGGCCGTGTGCCAGAACCACTGCTCGTGTCTAACTTAGCGATCATGTGCATAGTATTAGGACAAGTATTCTATTGAAAGCACTGGCTTGAATACCCATAGACCTAGGATTCATCTATTGATTACTGCCCAACAATGTACTTGAAATAAGAGTGGAAAAAATACATTGGGTCGTTGGTACGACACGCTGACCACATGTCAGCGGTACCCGGTGTTTCTACAAGTACCTCGCGTTGTTAGCAAAAGTAGTTGGGATGATACGATCGTGTTCATCAAAGTGCCTCGTTGCTGCGTTGTACGAAACAGGAGACAGTTGAATGCACGCGTTCCACACATAGCACACACTCATATGTACGGTATTACATACATCAGAAAATCCACACACACATTGCAGCTGAGCAGGCCAATTGGTGCCGAGGTATCGAGCGGCTACCAGAGCAGTGAAGGTCGAGACGGTGAGCGTGAGCCGTGCCCCGAACGTGAGCAAGCCACCATAGTTCTAAAGTCTCTTACAGGAAAACGTACACCACTCGCCCGTGGGCACTGTCGGCGGCCAGTGGGGGTGAAAGGAACCGAGTGTGGCTCAGTGGCCTTGTCGGTGGCCATAGGGGATGCAGGGACGGTCCGAGCGGTGCTCAGTGGCCCTGTTGCCGTGCCAGAGAGGTTGGGCTGACCATGCTGGCTGCCCGCCAATCAGCCGTAAAATTAGCCGACGGGGCAGGCGACAGACCCGGCCGGCCGGCGGCGATTCCCGTGACATCGGCAGCCAGCCGCTTCGGTCTGCAGCGTACCTGACTCGGGCCTGACCATCGGCATGCCGTACAGCTGTCATAGGCTTGCCAACTGCCTACATGATCTCTGCGTGAAGTCTGACCACGAGTCTTCCGGAGGACTGTCATAAGTCTGATCACGGGTCTGCCGGACCACTGTCGCAGGTCTGACCTCCATTCTACCGGAGTCTGTCGCAGGTCTGGCCTGGGGATGAAATGCCTTCTTTTCCTGTATCCAGTCACCACTATCAGTCTCTTAGCCAGTCCCGTCGCACCCCTCAGTGGCCAACGTCGCCGGCAGTCCCCTCCCCCCCCCCCCCCCCTCCCCGCCCGGCCCGACCCCCACCTGCTGCGCAGCCATGCGGAGTCGGTTGCAGAGCTCGGGCGCCTTGACCATGTCATCGTTTAGCGTCTGCAGTAGCTGGGTGATCTGAGCGGCCGTGTCGCGCGTGGCACCACCGTCGCCCACGGGCAGGTTATTGAGCGCCGTCTCCAGCCGCTGGATCTCCTCCTTCAGCTCCTCGTTCTCCTCCTCCATTTGGCGACAGCGAACGCGGTCCGCCTCCAGCTGGCTCTGCAGCATCTGCCCGGACACGGTGGTGAAACGTATGACGACGCGTCAGGCTCGGCACGGGTGGGAACAGGGGTGAGGCGGGAAAGAAAAGGGATTGGACAGGGGACGAGGTGAGAAAAGGAAGGAGTGGGACAGGGGATGGTGGTGGACATGAGACGGGACGGTGGACGGGATGAGACAGGGGACACTGTGGGGCAGGGGAAAAGGGTGGAAAGGTGGGCAGGTGGGCAGTGAGATTAGTGACGGTGTGGGATAAAGAACGAAATGGACTAAGACAAGAGGTGGGTCGGAGGATTTTTTAAAGATTGAGTCCGACCACTTTGAATGGATGAATTTCTGGGATCAGAGCTCACGCTAAGCAGCGCTTGTTGTAAGAGCCCTGACGACCACCATCCGATCGCGCAATTCCAGGCAACGGCAGAATTTCGTGGCGAAAGTTTAACGTGCCGCAATGCTCGGCACGTTTCGCCCTGCCTTTTGACGTCAACTGACCTTTAGCGTGACCGCTCCCACCGGCCACAGGCCATACTTGTCGAGGGAAAATAGTGGGGATGGAGGTGAGACATAGAAAAGGGTAGGACAAGGAAGGAGTGGACAGTGAATTGATTTAATCGAGAATGGGGCGGGACAGGGACAGTGTGAGACAGGCATGGAGCGGTGTGGGACAGGGAACGGGATATGGGAAGGGATGGAGTGGGGATGAGGTGGCACACGGTACGTGGTGAAACGGTGGATGGTATGGGACAAGGACAGGTGAGACGGTGGACGGGACGGGATAAGGGACGGCTAGACAAGAACGGGTGGTACAGGGGTGGTGTGAGATTACTGAAGGTGTGAGACAGGGGACGTAATGGGACAGGATGGGTGGGACAAGGGATGGGGTGGGACAGGAACGGCGTGTGGCAGGGAATAGGTGGCACAGATGTCAGGACCGTCTCAACGCAGACGGCGGAGCCGGCCAGGAGTACAGAGGGGGCGTCACAGGTCATGGACCGGGACCGGGACAGCACGGCATCCCCGGGTAGGCTGGGGATATTTCTAGGCATGACTATGGGCACACAAACCACAGAACAGGGAATGCATGGGTTTATAATCTGGGAAGGTGTGAGAAATGCAACGACAGGACCATGTCGTCCCATTAAAGTCACTGACCGTATGCTGTCGACGCATGTTACTACGCTTAGCCACTCGAAATTATTGAATAATGGCAGGACATCTTCATTGAGACTTAGGCTGTTCTAACATAAGCATAGGATGCCCCAGTGCAATAGCCCATAATTCAAAGGAAGCGAAGAGACATCTTTGACGCCGACCCAGCTGCCAGTCGAGCGTATGGCTTGACGCCAGGTGACCCGCATGATGGCGCGTCTCTGGCTCCAACGTAAACAACCAAATACTTCACGGGCCACCTTTGCGTGGATTCGAGGAAGGGACGGACGGTAGGCCGGTTTTGACGAATGCACGAGTGGTGAGTATGGTTTAAGCCCACACATTCGTCAATTCCCTCGAGGTGTGAATTGGTGGCTATCATCCCAAACAACAGGTCGCAGAGGGGTCGGGCGGCCTCCAAAGGAGACGTCACGAGAGCGGTCCGTGACGGCGCTGAGGCGCGGCTCGTCGATCGGGTGCCGCGGGCGGGCGGGGACATTCTCTGTCGGAGGACAGCTGCGCAAGGACAGCGTGCTTGGCAGCTGCAGCCTGCGGGGCCGTCACGCCCATGCCGCCAGCTGACTGATGGCCTCTGGGAGCGTGCGGCGAGAGAGCAGGGCCGCGGCCAGGGTGGCGTGGCTGGCGCGCTGTGTGGGCGGTGGTGCTCGTCTGGCGGCTAAGGGGCGGCGCCAGCTGCGTCGCGGACTCGGGATACTCGGGATACGCCCCCTGGCGGATTCCGCTGCCGCCATGACGGCGGTCGCCCCAATTTCAGCTGCAGCAGGCCAATGCTACACTCAAGGGCTGCCAAGAAAAAAGGAAGTGTAGTGTTGTGACAAAACGTCGATAGAGTAATTTGGACCACACCATGAAAGTTAATTTTCTCATTACAACCTGATAGTGCTGTGGATGTACTACTCAGTACCATTAATAGACGTAACTGCTCATGGGGTTTCACGACAGTTTGTTTTGAAAATACACCCCAAGGGTGGAGCATTACCTTCAATTAATTTTGTAAAGTTTTGGAAGCTTTAACGAAAGAAAACTGACATTCCTGAAACTGAAAACATTTTGAAACAAACAGCAGTCTCTATTACGTCATGGTCGGGAAAGCAGGATAACTCAGTGCTTTGCACTGCTTTTCTGATGCACAGAAAACGCAGGAGCCTGCATGTTTAACCGGTATTAATATCAATGTAGGCAGCTAATAAGCATTGGAGCATGCAAGGGTCAACAGCGGGATTCCTGGCATGTCAAATGTGTCACTTTCATCTGTGAGGCGTGAAAAGCGACAATATTTTAAGTGCGAAATGGTGGAATATTCTAAATTTGCACATTTTTCCTTTTTGTGCCTCGTGATTTAAAGCAGACTCCCGTTGTTTCACATTACTTATATGTCTTTCTATGTGGGTTGTAATTCAGCGTGCAACTATCACACTTGGTCAATGGGTGATAAGTTTTGTAATCTACTAATCTACATTTGTGGCTGCAGGGGAACAGCTGAGGCTGTTGTTCCCGGCACGCATGTGCCACTGTTAATGGGAAAGTGAATCGACTGACATTCGACTCACTTTGGCTAGTCGATTAACATGCACGTATATGTTGTGCGGAGGTTGTGTAAAGTCCGAGACAAGTGTGACGATCTGAGAAAGCGCTCTTGCATAGGAACTCACGCCTAAGAGCGAGTACAACTCCTCATTCATGAGAATGTCTGGGAGTCGGTTGCAGCAAGGATCTGCTGCAGGCGAGGGACGATCTCCCCGGCAACACTGAAGTCCAGTGGGATGCGTGTAATTTCAGCTGACTCCCAAATCTTAACGCCCTGACATAGACTGAAAGATGTAGGTGCTTGGATCCACAGCACGGATGTCAAAACCTCAACGGCTTCCGGAACGGCCTCGTGCAACAGAGCCCATCATGACGAGAAGCGTGGCGTCGTCAGAACTGCCGACTTCCCGGCAGCGACCCCCGGCCACAGCCGACCCTTCTCTAGATGATGGAGCACCACGGCCGAACCCATGACATGCTGCCAAAACATGCGACCGCGTGGCTTTGCGACAGGAAGCACGCGATGCGACGGCTTCGCGATCACAAACACGCGATGCGATGGCTTCGCGATCACAAACACGCGGGTGGTGGCTTCGCGATCACAAACACGCGAGGGGTGGCTTCGGAGCATCCCTTATGTTCCAAGGCGCAGAGGTCAGGGAAAGGAACTTACGTCTGTTATATATAGTCAGGCATGTAGAAAACAACAGGCACGCATTCATGTGTGTCCGTCTCTGCATGCTAAAAACACTACCGCTTCAAATCTCACTGGCTTAGAAACCAAAATGAGGGCTCTGCCGAGTTTAGACCTGGGGACCCCTGCATATCCCAGGTCAGGTATGTTGCAATCAAGGGCTTTTGTACAGCAGAACGAAGGCCGCGTATGCACTGCGCTAAGTTGCTCTCTCTTGTGAAAGCCTGATGGAAACTTGAAGGAAGACTAGTTGACAATGCAGATTTAAAAGGTATCCGCTCACACAGGCAAATTTTGTTGATGTCGAGCTCTTTTACGGATAGCGCTTAAGTTCGTCAAATCAAAGAAACAGGCATTGTCGGTGATTTTTTTTTGCCTGTTTTCTCTGTCTGGTGGTTATCCTAGAGCTTGTTTTGGTAATATTATGCAATAGGGCGCGAGCAACCGTGATCAAACGCTGTAATCTATTAACCAATATGCCATGAGTCCTCTACAGAAACCGCATGGTGAGGCGACTAGAACCTAAAGGGCATCCGCCGCTCACGACAGAACGGAATTCAGTCCTCCGGAACGACACGAACTGAAGCACTGGAGCGAGCATGTGGGAAAAATATTTGCATTCCTGCGATTTTTGGGTGTGGGCGGCATGCCTGATGGGTGATGACTGGTAGTTTCTGACACGGTTATCGGGGGCGGACCTGCGTGTCGTTGTCTGTCAGCCGCTGCGCCTCCTCCAGGCTGAATATCTTCTCCTGGAGGGTCTGCTTCTGGACGTTGACCTCCCGCAGCTCCTGCCGCAGCTCATGCAGCTGGCTGTCTCGCTCCGGGTTGGACTAGGGGCACAAATCGAAGGCCGGCGGCGTAAACAGCATTTCCATTCTCTCACATTTAATGGCTGTGTAAAACGGCATCCAAGTCCACAAACTGTGCAATATTTTGTTCGTGGTTAAGGCATTGCTAAATTTCAGCTTGACTGGCTAAACAAAGACAGCATGACCCCCTGCCTCAATAATTTTTAAAAGGGTGGTTTTGATATCGTCCTGTGTTATGCATACAATGTTAGTTTTATTTTTGTAAGGAGCCCCTTCCGTAAAATACCAACGGAGGATCTTGCTGCGACGTTTTCTGCACGTAGATGTGCGCTTAATTAACTCTGTACAGCAGCCTGCTGGCGACTGGTGATTCCGTGACCGATCGTCATTATGACTGTCGCCTTTCTGACCCGCATCTGTTGCTATCTCCCGCGCACACCACGCCCCTACACTACCGACTCTGTGACCGTCGTTCCCACACCTGCCGTCCCCATGTCTGGTGGCCGGCCTGCGCGCGGCTCGGCTCACCGCAGCCTTGGAGTCGGAGAAGAACGTGTTGCAGCTGCAGCGACAGCGACAGCCGGTCGAGGCCGAGCGGCGCGGCTGTGAGCTGCGGCCCAGGCTCTGCCGGGCAGCGGCCGGTGAGGCGTGAGCGAACGTCATTCTGTCAGCAGATCGACGACAGGAGACGACGGGTCCTGATCCGTTTAACACGCACTCGGGAGGAAGTCAATCCGGCCCTCCTTAAGGCCAAAGACAGGAGACGACGGACCCTGATCCGTTCGAAAACGACGAGCCCTGATACCGTTCCCCACACGCTCGGGGAGGTCAATTTGGCCTTCCTGGGGGCCAAAAACAGGAGGTGACGGGCCCTGATACCATTCCATACGCGCTCCGGGGGGGGGGGAATTTGCCCTTCCTGAAGGCTTTTCCAGAAAAATTCCGGAAGGCGCGGCATAATCGCGTTAAATTTAACATACCTGTTGGCAATTTGGAAGCGGATCTTTTGGTACAAGCACTCAGATGCACCCTGTAAGCTAGCTGATCTATGACAGGTCCAACCAAGCCGTGGATGTCAGTGACGGCAATGTCTAAGGAATTGTTCAGCCTGACGCAGCAATGGGGTGTTAGACAAAGCCATGCACCTCTGAGATAGTTTGTTAGATAATAAGACAATTTGATTTAGGATTATGGCAAATGGCATTAATTTCGGGTCAGGTACGAAGATCAGGCTGAGTTTAAAATCAATCTGCTTTTTACCAGAGAACCTGTTGTGTTGGATGGTTTCTGATATTCATTTCAAATTTCCTGATAACAGAACAGTAACAGACATCTTTCATGAACTTTTTTTGATATCAGGGTAGGTCACTGGCATCAAATGACTTAGATCAACGTTTTTAGAAACGTACAACCTAGCGTTATCTTTCGAGCTCACTTAAATTTAAAAATAGGAGCAATCTCGTAGGCTTTTGGTCACCATTTTCTTCTAACGGTTAAACAAGGTCACTGACCTAAAATCATCCCAACTAATGTTTTACTCAAAATTGCTGTCCAGGTTCATGAGGATGTCTTGGTTTACTTTGGACACTTATCCTGAGTTTGACCATGTTTGACCTTGTTTGAACAGACGATCATGGCTTGGAAACCTCAAATGTTGACACAAGTAAGTTGACACACAAGCCACTCCACCCCCCCCCCTTTGAGTTTGGTCCCTTGAGATCTCTTAGTTTTTTATATATCAAAGGGTCAATAGAGTACCAAACGTGTGGTATTCAACCGACCATTTGGGCGCGTGTTATTCTCCGCAACGCGCGCGAAATACTGCACCATATGACACTCTTTTCTGGGCAGCACACTTGTGTCTTGGTGCGATTTTTGCGGGGAGGGGGCTCACTCTCAGTCCATTCTTTTGAGAACCTTTTCGTAAACACTCCGCTTTTAGTCAGATGCTAACAAATTACGTTCGCATGTTATCACAACGGGCACCGCGAGCGACTGCGGATTCAACGCTGTTTGCCCGCAACGGCTGTTACGTCCAAGGCGCGATGCCCGGCTGCACAGATTCACGCTTTCCCGGCTGCAATGTGAAATGCACCATATTTGTGCTGAAATATGCATTCTTCATTGGCAATGGGATAACAATTTGACGGATATTTATCTAGTGGTGCGACAAAATACGGTAGCTTGTGAGCGAAGAGGCAGTTAGTTGAGCTAGGATTCGCACAACTTTGTCAATGTGCTAATCGTACCTGATAAGCTTTTGTTCGCTCCTTCACTTTGGACAGCTCCCCTGGAGACGAGGTGCGGTACGGGTCACGCCCTCTGCTCGACGTGCCGTCGTCCCCCTCGTAGTCCAGCGCGTCCAGCTCTCTTTGAAGCAGGTCAATGCGATCCTCCAGACTCCTCTGAGGGAGATAGTGATCAGTCTTTTAAAAGTAGATCAATCAAAAAATGATCCGTCGCGAGCTCGAATTTCGGCAGTTGTGGATCAGGTACGATCATATTTTTGCATAACTTTCAGGGGACTCTCCACCCTGGGCGCACGTTCAATAAGCAACCGTCACTTACCTTTTCGACAAGCATATTTTCAACAGACATGTCGCAATCCCTTGGATCCGACTTGCTCGCATGCTCTGCAGCTGTTTGAAGGTCTCGTTCAAAATTATCTAATTTGCAATGAATGCTTTTGAAGTCGCAGTTCAATGTGTTATCATCCCAACGACCACTCATTTTCTGGAATCAAAATGCGATCACAATTGTGTTTTATCGTTAGTTTCTCACTCTTGTGAAACCCGATGCTTGTAAAGCACCATTAATTAGCCCGATTAATATGCATTGCAATTTAAAGCACCTCCCTCAAACGAATACGCTCATAGAACTGGAATTTTGCGTTCGGGACGGGAAAGCGTATGCGAAGCGCAAGTCAAACTTGCGCTCCGTGCAAGCCAAGTGTATAGTGTAACTATTAAATTCGTCGAACGGGGCTCGGTCGTGAACTCAGCTTGGACTGACTGTCAGCCCGTGCTATAACCCAGAAGCAACCTTTCGTGCGAAAGGCACGGACAGCTGCTCATGCCTTAGACTTTGTCATAACCAAAATACGTTTCCATCGTGTTGTTCTCAATCACTCACACTGCGTTTAACAACTCATCCCCAGGAACGTGACATTTTATTGTCGCGTTGAAATACATAGGTATGAAGGCTTCGTTCACAAACGAAATACGCACATACACGTGGAGAATATCAGCAATTCAGACCCTTTGGCAGCATCTCAACACTACTATGATTGCGCAATTACTGTTCCTGAAGTGCATTCAAATGGAGTTTAGTCGTGCCACGACAACCTGAGCGAATCTTTAGTGGCAATGCATGGGACGCCGAAGCGGCTCTATCCACAGATTGTTGCAATACGTTTACTTCGCCAACAAAAAGAAAACGTTTTTAAGTTTTGTCCATACAAAAACCATCAAAGTCAAGATGCTATGAGCGTCTGCCCATAAGAAAATGCCATGCCTGTCTGGTAAGATGCTAGAAAACGAAATCAGTTTGTTATGGCAGCTCGCACTTTTGCGGCATGGCATCATTTCCGTTGTGCCTAGCTTTAAAGAGAGTGTTCTTTATTTATGTGGGATTTAGAACTGAAATAGCTATCTTGATGTCTTGTCGATGCCGTTAACAATCCTGCCCTTCCCAAGATCTGAGCCTGCTCTAGTTTCTAAGCTACACGCCTGCAAAAATAGGGAAAGGTGAGAGCGATGAGAGCATTTCGATGATGAGATTTTCGATGGTGAGATATCGATGAGAGCATTTCCACGTCACCTGGGCATTTATAAAGTTAGTATAACGTCATTCAGACTCTGCCATTCCATAACCAATGTGGCGATCAGGGCCAATAAAAAAGTCGTCGAATCGTTCATATCTGGCGTTTGTTAACGCCATTTCCAGATATAACGGCCGTCAATTGGATTTCAATCAATGTTGCGCAAGATACGATGACGTTATCAAACCAAGACTCACTGAGGAGCATATTTATCAAACAGAGAATTGTGTTGTCCATAACACTTTTTTCGCATAAAAAGCATACCAATAGTTAAAGGTTAGCTTGTTCCATGATATCTGATGTTTGCTTCAATATCTGTAAACGTGAAACAGCCCATTCAATACGCGCCCGGGTGGTCGGTTCAGTACCCTTCACTCGGTTGGGGGTCAATTTTACTCCCTGAGATCTAAAAAAAAACTAAGATAGCAAGAGACCCTAAACTCAAAGGGCGTATTGACCGACACGTAAACTTACTTGTGTGAAAAGGTTTGAGGTTCTTAGGTCAAGACCTAAAGGTCAAATAAAATAAAGCAAGTTTGAATTCCAAATTGGTGCCAAAAGTGTTCCCAGACATCCTCATGCAATCGTTGTAAAACTAGATACCTGTTCTAAGCAAAAGGTCAGCAAGGTCATTGATCTGTATGCCTTTATAAGGTTAGGCGACTATCAGGAAGGTCCAAAATCACTCTGAAAAACCTTTGGGGACCCATTTGACCTCCTCTCTCGAAGGTTTTTCTGGCATGATTCTCTAACGCCGTGGCGTAGCCACCTTGTTTGACTTCAAGGTCACTGCCTAGGAAACCCATATTTTAACCCCAAGTGATTTCACGTACAGATTAACACATCTTGTGAATTAGGTGAAATGGACCTCCCCCCATCCCCTCCCACCCGAGTGAAGGGTATTTAACTGGCCAACCGGGCGCGTCTTGAAGGCACTGGGCTCTCTGTGAAAACGTTATTGGTGAGTTGCATGTAGAGCGAGATTTGGTGCTTCACTCACACTGATGTAGTGCCCCCCCCCCCCCCCCCGCTCCCTCTCCCTTTATGAATATAGCTCACTGAATGTAAGGCAATGTTCTTGCAACACTTCTACCTCAACATCGACTATGCCACCTCTACTGCACAGGTGCAAATTTTTCGTTGTGCATTATTATTGATAAGCGATGCTTTCAAGTACAACTTGTGATTCCAGAACTCATGATATTTGGAACCTCTTTGGTCGGTTAAACGCATATTACGTTGGTCTGGCAATGACCCTCAGAGACTGAATTAGCATTCTATGTACTTGTGCCTGAGAAACAAAGCTGCAAGACACACTGGATCCGTCCGCACTGCTGTAGTGTTTCCTGGACATGTTAAAACATGTTGCTCTTTTTGTCCGACACTGTCGACTGCAGTTAGATGGCCTCGACTGGACTGGCGAATGCAACAGAACTTTGATGATTGATTTTTGGCCGTGCCGCTGATATGAGCCCCTCCAACCTCTCGCTGTTGATGAGTTCCACTAACCAATGAACGCCGTCCGGCAGGGGGCTCGCCACCTGACCTGGCGCGCATGCGTGCGCCGTTCGATCGCCGAGCGTGGTGACGTCACAGCTGGCAGCGGCCCAGCGGCCGAGCGGCTCAGCCGACGGTGACTGCCACCACCCGGTGATCGACACGGGAGAGCGGAAGGAGGGCAGGACGCGGACACCGCGTGCCACCGCTGCAGATCCAGGTGAGCCGTGCACATGCCTTGTACGCCGAGCGCCAGCTCGGAATGCATGCAAGAGGGCCGGCTTATGACACGGCCTAGTGACCGCTGGAGCAAGTGCAGCAGGTGTCTAATCAGCTGATTCCTGGTCGCTTCTTGATGTAAGAGCAGTTTTTTTCTCATCTGCTTCTCTCATTATTGTCCAAGCATATGATCACATTTGGGTCAATAGCTCTGTTATCGCGTTATCCCAGTGCGTCGATCGGATTGCTACTTGCAGAAAAACGCCATGGTGGATACAGGTGATGTTCTAAGCTGGATCAATGGACAAAAAACGCATGCATGACAATAATTCAGCGATCCGTAGTTCACGGGACGACCTAAAAAGGAGCAGACACGGTCGGGTCGGGCTGGTCGAACAACAGAGGGCATGTGATCTTACAACCGGTCGACACGCGACACAGGCTAGTAATTGTCATGCGCTACTGGCCTGCCAGCTTGTTCAGTGGGCAATCACTCGGCCTTAACCGCTTGACCGGTTCGTCCACCGTTCGATGTTGGCTGTTTCCTCCACTCAACAGAGGCCAGTAGAGCAGTGCAGCACCTTACACTTACACGTGTTTCGTGATCGCCCGGTGCGGCGTAAGGCACATTTTCAGCGAATTTCAGCATCTACACTGTTGTGACCCCGGACTGTTCGTCCCGGTGGCTCAGTTGGTAAGAGCGCCTGCCTTCCGATTCACCGCTCAGTTGGTAAGAGCGCCTGCCTTCCGATTCACCCACCCGTGGCGGGGTTGGTACGAGTCGCTTTAAGTGCTCGCTGTTTGTCTTTGGCAGGTATGGCCCGCGACCGGTGGTGGCGGTCGCGCTGAAGAGGTCAGTTCACGTCAGAGGTAGGACGGACTTTGCCGCGAATTGCGGCATGTTGAAGTTCCGCGCCTAAATTCTGTCGTTGCCTGGAATTGCGCGATTGGATGATAGATATTAGGGCACACACAACAAACACTGCTTAGCGTGAGCTATGCTCCCAGAGATCCTTACTTTCAAAAGGTTTGGATTAAATCTTTTAAAATGTCCCAGATGTAAATAAATAGGCTCCGTTGGAATTACATAATTTAGCTCCAGCTAGTCACGCGCACATCCGCCGCTGGGCGAACCTACCCATGGGCTCCATCGCGAGGCATGACCAGGAAACCAGGAGACCACAAGGCCACCTCGCCATTGACATTCTCACGCAGACGCCGGCTGCTCCAATAACATGACTAACCATTAGCGATATATGAACCGGCTGTTTCTCCACTAAACATCTGCAGCAGTTACGGTGACAGACGTCGATCTGGTCAGAACGGCACGCTTTGCGCCAATCCTGTCCTCCAGATCACGGGAACAGTAATACACGCATGCGCGGTCGGCGACGCAGCGAGGGGACCAGGCGAATCTGGGAGAACAGGCGGGTGCAAGCAGGGAAGCAGGGCAGGGACATAGTCACGTCCTGTCTGAGTGATGGTATGCGCGGTTTTGCGTTTTTGAGCACAGTAAAGACAGTTGTGAAGTGCGTTGGACAACCTTTGTTGAGTGAAAAGTGGAAATAAAGCCGAAAAGTAGCGTTATATTTCACTGCGTGGTTTCGTTAGGGCTGAACATGTTGTTACGACAGAACAGGGCTTTGGTAACATGTAAATCCTGACGAGGTCGCGCAGCTACATAGCTTTGCCCATTCTTTGGCTTATTCCCACTTATACGAGCATCTACATAAATAAAACCTGATCATATTTCCGAATTTTTGCGTGCTATGCCGCCCTGAACAATGACAGGTGACGCATCAGATTCAGATTACAGTCCACGATGAGCTCTTAGCTGTCCGGTTCCCTATTAACATACGTCGTAATATGAAATATGATAGGTCAGATTGCACAGAGCGGTTCGGCTCATGCTAGAAACCCAGCAGTGCACCAACACATACTACGAATCACCACGCTGCAAGCACTGGGTGTCGTTTCAGATGTCATTTGAAATTCCGCGAGTTTTCCTTAAATGGAAGCCGATTATGCTCCAGCACCTCACCGCAGCAGAGACGGCGACGGCTTATCTCCGCAAACATTGTTGGTAACGCGTATGACGTCGTGTCTCGTGTCTCGTGCTGGTGCTCGGCTGCGCTGCCAATGGTGTCAGCGATCTGTTCAGGTTTGCTGCGCTGCCAATAATGTCAGCAATCTGTTCAGGTTTGCCTGCTGCCATGGCCGCGTGTATCATACACATCGCATGATGACAAGGTATATGCGTGTCAAGCCAGGGAATGCTCCACGTAGAAACACACTGAAGCAAGCATCAGATGTCATGAAATAAGCCCACTTTTACCTATTGGTACACTTTTAGGTGGAAAAGACTCCTCCAGGCCACGAAATTTCGGTATTTAGTAAATATGCTCCTCAAAGCGTCATCATTTGATGGCGTCATGGCATATTTATATGGTGTTGAGGCGCTGCCAAATTAGCCGTGCGAAATTACCGTCCTCGCACTCAAGTGTAGTGCTTCCAACTCGACAAGGGGTGGGCGCACGACCCTGGAAGCGTTTGCTAAGCCAGCTGCTATTATGTGCTCGTGTTTTGACCCTTTTTCATTGTGTTCTTGCATATTTATCAGTGAGTTTAAGGAGTTTTCTTGTATTCGCATGCTCGGCTATTGCGATTTTTAAAGTTATTCCATTACAAGTCTTATGTGCGTCATAACTAGGAAGGATCAATGGGTTCTTATATTATGTTGCACAACACACGTTGTGTGATTGGAGCTGGCTCAAATCGCGCAATGTTGATGGAGAGTCAACTGGCATCGATCATGTTTGAACATTGTGCCTACGGACGCCAGATCTAAACGGCTCGACGATAAATCGTTCATGGTCTTGAGTTCCCCGTGCCCTATGGGGTGGCAGGATTTGAATAACGTTGCTCTGGCGTTATGCATGCCCGGATAGCCCTGAAATAGTCTGCACATCTTCGTGGGCGTTTAGCTCAGAAACTAAAGGGTTTTTGGGTCTTGAGAAGCACAAGGCTGTGAACTGCAAAGGATGATCTTTAATTTGATGATTTACGACCAGAAATGCGAAACTATGGAAAACTGGTCACGTTCAGTATTAGGTATGTCTTGATGGGCAGTTAACGAAATGCAGCTACTTCTTGGCACTTGTCAGTAAATGCTCTACAATGAACAGTGATAATTTGAAGCCGTTCAGCCCAACCAAAACCACTTTAAGTGCCTTAGCCATCTTAAGGCACCCGGCACGCAGGATCGATGTGGAACAAGGGCCATCCCAACGTCGACGTGGTTAACAGCGTGGTACAGGCGGAGCGTCAGGCGAGGTCGAGCCACGGAGAGCCAGGTCACACAGCACAGCACGTCACACAGCCACACAGCACGGAGAGCCAGGTCGACGCCACGACAGTGTCGGTTACACCGATTCCTGGCAGCAAGATCACAGGCTTCATGATATATGGAAATGTTGAAGGTTTTAGCGAGTTCGAAATAATCTGCTAGCAACTAGCGTTTGGGTAAGGCACGCACATCGCCAGTTCAACAAGTCCTCAATCTCAAAGCCATCCCGTCACACTCGCCCTGCTTCTCAGAGCCATGGCTTATCGCGCCGACGACGTGGTGGGCGCGATCGGTGAGATCGGCCGGTGGCAGGTGCGGCTGATACTGCTGCTATCGCTGGTGGGCATCGAGTGCGGCTGGCAAGTGCTGCTCATCAACTTCCAGGCTCCGCCGGCCGACCACTGGTGCGCGTCGCCCACCGCCCACGGCAACCAGAGCCAGTGGCGCCACCTGGACCCTGCGGACCAGCGCACGGTGAGCGGCGGGGCGCATGCCGCTGACCTGTAGGGGGGGTGAGCGGATGGCGCCTACGGTGAAGGCTGCTGCAGTTTAGAATTTAAGGGGAAACGGCCGGAATAGTAGACAAAATGAAGTCTGAAGTATGATGCAATGGTATACACTGATGTGGAAAATATGCATCCAATAATAGATTTCAACGGACTGTATCATGGATCGAAAAAGAAAAGTAGTTGGTGGACTGACTGAACGATGATAGACTAATCGATTTAGGATACATCCTGGAAATCCATGCACAAACTGATATAGATGTGCACACACACTACTCAAATAATTGTTTCCTTATAAAGTGTTCTTTTGATTGACTGGCGTCATGCGTCTACCGAATACATGAATAATTCATGTTTCAGGGTGTGGCACGAGAGCCTTCGCAGTGCAGCTCGTACATCCCAGACGCCGGCGGGGCCACTGGGGCCACCACTCGCAACAACAGTACATCACCATGCAACGCATGGAATTATGATACCTCAGAATACAGCAATACCATCATTATGGAGGTGAGGCTGGTAGTTGTTTTTGTTTCGTGTAGAACTGATTTTTCGTTCTAAAATCCAGCTGTTTGTGGCTAGGTCAGGTCAGGTCAAGTCAGGGGCCGTTCATAAAGTGTGTTACGCGCATTTGGTTTCGTTTTTTTTTCCTGCTCCTTTTCCCGGTTATGCACCGGTTACTCTGGATGATATCTCCACTCGCCCACCTGGTTCACAAAATCTCTAAAACGAAACAAGTAATGAATGTGTTGATTATCACTTTCTCAGAAGCCACAGCCTGCTACTGCGTATTTATTTGCCTTCTGCAGTGGGACCTGGTGTGTGAGCGCAAGTGGTTGCAGATGCTCACCCAAGCCACGTACATGATCGGCATCATGTTTGGAGTAATGTTCTGGGGGATTGCTGCTGACAGGTAAGCCCCGTTCTTATCTATGTCGGGTTAAAACCTTTCACGCTTCCTGTCCTCACACGATTTGAATGCTTACCGGGCCTTCACTTGTATCCATTTCTGCCGGTCGAGAGGCAAATTCGCAGTCAGGCTCTCGGACGCTTGAAGGTCGTGTCAAAAACTGTTGCCCAGAATTATTCGCAGGCTATATTTTTTTTCTAAAGTGAACATCTCAGGTGTCGAGGAAGCTCGTTGTCAAGCATGAGTCTGGGTCTTGAAAAACCGAGTCAAGGCCTAGTCCAAGTCCGCGTCGCCAATCCATTCTTGGCACGTGGCATGGGCCCGAGTCGGGGTGCTATTCCAATCATTGTTATGCCTATGATCCGGGCCTTAAAATTCGAGTCCGAGTCCCAGTCCTAGTCTATTAAAGTTTAAGCCAGTCAGTCTCGCAATAGATCATTTCAGTGAACAAAAACGGGTTCATATTAGATTTTTATGGCAGATATTACAGATACTTTGGCGTAGTATAGAATAACCGCCAAACTGGCCGTGCGACATTGCCACCGTAGCCGACTGGCAGACTCACTTGTAGCACTTTAGCTTGTCGAGAGGTGTCGTGCTAATCAGTGTGATTAGAGCCCAAATATCGCTACTTGCTCTTTTTTGGCCCTTCCTGGTGATATTCTTGCATATTTTTTCGTGATTTTCAATTGTTAACTTGCACGCACATACTCGGTTATGGCGTTATTTTTAGCTTATGCGACTCCCAATCTTACTTTCTTCATAACTGGTGCCATTTTCCAACGTTCTGTAATACATGGCACAAAATGTGATTATAACCTATTGTTTGCAATTCGCACTAAATGCATGACGTTCGTTGAGAGCCATTTCAAGTTTGTTGGTGCAAGAAGTTGTGCTGACGTGCGCCAAACACAAGTAATTCGATTATATTAGTTTTCCTGGCCTTGGGCACCACTTGGTAAATGCGGTGACTGCGATCGTTTGACGTTGCTAAGGCGTCATGTATGTTTGGGTGACTGAAATGATGTGCTCAAGTTCGCGGGTGTCAAGCTCAGAGTCCAACGGAGTTGAATCTTAAAAAGGAAGTTACACGTGACGCACCGTACTTGACATTAATTTGGGTAATAGCTGTACCCAACGTCTGGTGAAAATTGGAATAGCTGTCCAAATGCAGACGTAGCTTTGTAACTTTCCCAAATCCTTCACAAGGCAAATGAGGAATCTTACGCGCCATAGCCGAACTAACCAAACCCAACTTAAGCCAGCTGAAACGAATCTGACCCATATTTTCCAACGTAATACAGTATACACACGACAAAGCACAGCACATTAGTGAAGACCTATCAATTGAATATACGATTTGCACTAGGATGAAACTGTCTCCTTTCCTCTACGGCGTGCGTTATGCTGTTGAAACACCATTCCTGCCATTTGGAGGCCAATTGGAGATTGGCCATTGGAGGCCAAAGGAACATGCAAGTTCAGTTGACACGTCCGGCTTCCAAAAATCGTTTAAGGTTAGTTTCAGTCCAGAATTTTGGAGAACGGCTGCATGTTAGAGTCCTTACTTTTCAGATTGGTGAGTCTGAACTCGAGTCTTAATTACCTGTAAAATCAATAACTTCGCCTGAGCCCGATTCTGGACATATCACAAGTTTCTGCCTGAGTCAGGGTTCAGCAGCTTTGGAACCCTGCCTGGTTTAACTCATGTCCTGACTCGGCAAGGCTCATATGTGACAATTCATTATCTGTGGCCTAGTCTGTGCGATATTACCTGTGACCTCGTTTGTGTCTGCCGGGCAGGTACGGTCGAAGACCCACTCTGTTCGCCTGCATTGTGCTGACTTCGTTCTTGGCCAACCTCATCGCGGCCGCCGGCAGCGTCGAGCAATTCCTGGTATTGCGCTTCCTCACGGCGTTCTGCGGGATCGGCGCCTACACTTCCAGCTTTGTCATGAGTAAGCGCACCTGCTGCACGTGGATCGATGTGGGTTGGGATCTGAAGTGTGTCGTCGGGGCTTCGCCCGGAGGGACGGCTTGTTCAGCACACAACCGTCGGTGTGCGGCGCCAAGAGGGTGGCAGGTCCACGTATAGTGTTCTTAGGGGACACAGGTACTGTTACAGAGATCCCAAATACGTCTGGATGCCCAGGCTTCATAGTTTTGGAACACTGCTGCCTTCAGGTACTTTAGCTTTCGATCTGCCTGCATTGGTCGCACGGTCTATGAAACACCACATCATCTACCAGTGTCATAGGCAAGATAACAAAGGTACAATGGACCCGACAGTGTTAGAAGTTAGCGCCGAAAGCACTTGTCGCACATCGCTTGGTCACATTCCCCGACTAGTCGCAGACTGGCACCGATTTGTTGAAGGATTGGAATCATGTGCGAAGATTTATCGGCTCGCGCGGAGACTCCGTCAGTCGACGGGTCTCATCAGGAGAGACGCCCCCAACCCTCAACCCACCCCCACCCCCGTCCGCCTCTAGACGCCAGAGCAGCGCACTGGGCCGCCACCTCTGCAGCGCCACCCGGTGGTCTGTGCCCCACTGATGCCCGCTCTGGCGCCGCAGGTATGGAGCTGGTCGGCGACAGGTGGCGCGTACTGCTCGGCATCGCCTTCTTCCTGCCCATGTCCTTCAGCTTCATCGCCCTCAGCGGCATCGCCTACTTCATCCGAGACTGGCGGATGCTGCAGCTGGCCGTCTCACTGCCCAGCGTTCTCTACGTGGTGTACTTCTGGTGAAGAGCGTTCCTTAATCGACGACGGTGCATTCCGATGTTTCACGTTTCTGTTTTTTTTTCAAAGATTGCATGCGAGTTTTGTTTCCTAATTGTACACGTGCGGCCATGTTTCGGGACGCGTGCGGTCCCTTTGGTCGTACCCCGCTTCTGATCGTACCATCCGGACTTTGATGCCCTACACGTCATCTGAGCTGCGTTCTGACAGACGCTGACGTATGTCCGCTCATGAGCTGTTGTATTACATGCTTTCAGTCATGCAGAAATAATTCTGATGCGTGCATTTTGGGCCGGTGTCGGGACTCTCCTGACATCAGTCCACTTCCGGCCGGTACCGCAGCTCCTCTGGCGTTAGTTCGTTCTCAGGCTGGTGCCGCAGCAAGGCTGACGTTAGCTCATTCTCAGGCTGGTGCCGCAGTGCTCCTGACGTTAGCTCGTTCTCGGGCGGGTACCGCAGCATCCCTGACGTTAGCTCGTTCTGAGGCTGGTACCGCAACAAGCCTGACGTTAGCTCATTCTCAGGCTGGTGCCGCAGTACTTCTGACGTTGGCTCGTTCTCAGACTGGTGCTACAGTACTTGTGACGTTAGCTCGTTCTCAGGCTGGTACCGCAGCGCCCCTGACGTTGGCTCGCTTCTCAGGCTGGTGCCAGAATCGCCCCGCTGGCTGATATCCCGCCGGCGTATGGCTGAGGCTACAGTCATCATGCAGAAAATACGGCGCTACAATGGGCAACAACCTGTAGACGACTTCAAAGTCTCTCAGGTATCTAAGACTTATACTTCTGTTGGGTTCTAAGGCAATGTGTTTCTAGGAAAGCAAAGACTTCATTTGGAGACGCTGTTTGCATACATGCGCTGTGATGTTGCTTCCGTTATGGTGTTAGCAATGGGAAGACTTGATGTGCATCTGCAATATTGATGCATTTTTCACATTTATTGCAAACTTCTTCTGTGCCCACATTGGTTGTTTATGATGCAGTTGTTAATCACCTTTGCAGATATAATAAGGACTAACGGTATCATCGATGAGATACGACAACTATGCCTTACTCCTGTTTCCGACTTGCCGGCTTTCCAGTGTTTTAGGCAAACATTGCGTCGTAGTGGGATTCTTAACACTCACCTAAAATGGCGCCTTAACCTCTGAACCTTCTATTGCATCATACCGTGGGCTGTATTTGATTGCACCTCCGCGAGGCATGGCGCTATGCTGTCACTGTCTGTGTGGTGCCGGGGACAGGGCGGCGAGGCGGGAGCCTGTACCTCCACGAGGCAGGGCGCTATACTGTCACTGTCTGTGTGGTGCCGGGGACAGGGCGGCGAGGCGGGAGCCTGTACCTCCACGAGGCAGGGTGCTGTGCTGTCACTGTCTGTGCGGTGCCGGGGACAGGGCGGCGAGGCGGGAGACGGCCGGCGCGCCGAGGCCTGTCTGGACCTGATCACCAACGGGCGCATGCTGGCGGTGACCGGGTGTCTCTTCTTCGGCTGGTTCGTCAACAGCCTGGTGTTCTACGGAATATTGCTTAACACGGGAGACTTTGGCGAGGACATCTACTTGAACGCTTGTCTCGGTGGTGAGTTCCGGACAGCGTGCTGTGTTACGGACAGCTGGCTAATACAATAACGCTTTTGTTGACGGTGGGTCTACAGTCCCGTCAGAGGCTGTCTGCTCAGGAATACGTTTGTCAGGGTGATCGTGCGAAAAAGGTGCGCTTATCGTGGTTCGCGCGAAACAAGTTCTAGGACATTGCGCAAATTTCAGGAGCTGCGCAAGAGTTCATTAAAAGTCATGGCAGTTTTAGACAAGTTACAAACAAAGACAAAACAAAAATAGTCCTATGCATCATACAAAAACCAGGAGAATGGAGAGATAGATGCGCTGATATTTCTATTGGAGTTCTATTTTATCTTATGTATTTATGTTGGAATTCGTTGCTACTTCTGACAAAATTTACTTCTGATATTCGTTTCAATAAACGCGTGTTGCCGAAACATCCACGTATCTATCTGTTCATTCTCCTGACTTTTCTACAAGGCTGTTACTACTGCCTTATCTATATGCGTAATGTTCCTCCCAAATGCACTTACCAGCGTACGTAATTCCGCTAATGCGTTTTCATGTCCCATGTTCGGTATAGCGGACAGTGATGTGTATTTGTCTCCTCTTTTGTGGGTGTATTTGTGCTTCACGTGCTGACTTTGGATGATGGCGATTAAAAAAAGGTAGAGGTACTTCAGACCAGCTCCCCACCCGTTTTCAGCAAACCACGCCTGAACTATCTAACGTTGAGCACCGTCACTAACGATGACTGCTGGTGACATCTGCCGGAGAGTAACCACATGCCCCGCTAACGCCCTGTCGACGGCTGGCAGGCGTGGTGGAGATACCGGCGTACGCGCTCTGCACGTACGCCACCTACCGGCTGGGTCGGCGGCGACCCATCAGCTGCACCATGGTCGGCGCCGGCCTTGCCTGCCTGCTCACCCTGGCCTGTGAGAAAGGTGCGCGTGGGGTGACTCACTCGGCGTTGACGTGGTTTTCGAGACGTTGACGTGGTGTGCGAGGCGCCAAGCAAGCTTGTTCGCAGGTTGACAGCGTACGACGCCACAGTCAGTGTGGGCTGTCACGCTAAACTTACAGCCAGTTACAATCAGTTGCGCACTTATTGGAGAACAACGGTAAGCATTCCGTATCAAAGTGTGGCCTCAGCTTTCCGACTTAAAGGCAGTGTTTTGCTTCAGGAATCTCTCCCAAACGTTTCCGCCTGCATTCAACTCTGCTCGGTACATGCGACGACTGTCTGTGGTGCAAGCGACGCATCTACGTCTGTGTGCGTCGCGTCAGATATCTTCGTCTTGTGTGACGTCTGTGGGCGTCGTGGATGACGGATCGGTGTGTCGCGTACGACGGCTCTGCTTTTGAACGGCTGACGGTGCGGCAGGTGCATATCAGTACGACTGGCCGATAGTCTCTCTGGCCATGATCAGCCGGTTCTGCATCACGGCCTCGTTCGGCTCCATCTACATCTACTCAGCCGAGCTGTTCCCTACGGCCGTGCGCAACACCGGGCTGGCCAGCTGCTCCTTCGCCGCCCGCTTCGGTGGTATCCTCGCCCCTCTCCTCCTACTGTTGGTGAGCGTGCTGCAGAGCCGGTTGTTTCTCGCTGGCGTTAATATCATAACTTTATGACACAACGCTGAGTGTGACAACTTGGCTCTTCAAACTCCCGTTGGTAATTATGCATAAGAGCGAACAAGCCCCTGCTCGTAATGGCTGGCACGTACATAAAGTTGTCGTTTGACTGCCAGGAAAGGTGGGTATACCCCGGAACGGAGCTCGTTTGCCAGCACCGTGCGCTGCCTGTGTACTGGAGATAAACTTGAGGTGAGTGTCTGATGCGAGGTGGGCGGCTATTACAGCGTGACGAGGTGCACCCGGCCTTCCCGGTGGTGGTGTTCGGACTGGCGGCGATGGTGGCCGGCCTGACCATCCTGCTGCTGCCGGAGACCGCCGACCGGCCCCTGCCGGAGTGCATCGCCGACGTGGTCCGGCCGCGCCGCACGTCGGCCGCCGCGCCGTCCGAGGCGTCGCCGCTCACGGCAGCGACCGCCGAGCCGGCGCCGGCAGGTCCGGACGCCCCGCGAGACGGACACTCCGCCGCCGGCGACCACGGGAAGGAGGGAATGTGCAATGAGCGGAATGAAGAGTGGAGCCTGTAGAATGGGCGCGAGGGTGGAGAGGGCAGCACTGAGTGCAAAAGGCGCCGGTGCGGGCTTACTGGGGAATGTGTCCCAGGGTGCAACACTTTATCAAATGCAGGGTATGGCAACGTGCGTGCGTCGTGGCGTTGCTGAATTTTGCTTGCAATCCCAGGCTGTGCCGTATTGCCACACTCAGAAGTTCCATTAATGGCAGGGCTACCGTATATGTGATGAACAATACGAGCTTAAGAGCACCGACCAACCTTCCAGGGCTTTATGGAAGGGAGGATGCGGAGTATTTTTTATCCTCATAGGTGCCAAACAGTACGGCCTGGTAACCGGGTAAAGCCTGGCCTGTTGGGCACTGCGTAGTACGTGAATATCTTTAATGCTGCGTTAGGAGGGCAAGTGACGATCCGCAACCCTAGTGCGGCAGCCGGGTATCCTGTTCCTTTAGATTATTCGCTGTGCCAGGGCACTGCGTTTGTTCCGTGTCCCTGCCTGTATCTGTTTAGGTAAACTGAACTGAGCTACGCATCATATCGAATAGCATCACTCAAGTGTCATGTTTTGTATCAAATGGCGAACTACATTTACATGGGACGTTGCCAGAGCATATTTTCCCGGACGGTCTGTAATTTTGTTCCTAGACAAAAATACAAACAAGCGAGATGAGGCGGCAGCGTGTTGAGGCATGTAACCTTGAGCTTTTATCGCCGGGCACAGGAGCTTAACACTTAATTACCCGAAATTGCGTTACGATGTGTGGATGGATTTAGGAGATACCTTTAGACACCAGAGACACTTACACCTGTCCAGTGCCCACGATTTGAATGGCTTGCCGGCTACGATGCGAAGATGTTTGCATCATACGCATATGCACAGGGCTAGGATTATAGCGACCTACTGGTACCAGATGCTGGATGTGTGGATCCAAAAGCTCGACATATTGGCGAGCCGTCTTTCGTAAGCCTACTTTGTCTTCATCATCAGCATATGTTTGTAGGTCGCGTTTAGCTTAGCTGAATGCTGAAATACATATCCGTTGCATTTGCGCGGCAAGATGAAACCGGGCCCAATGGAAACGCTTGGTACGGGACGGTGGCGAGGGGGCGCATTTCACGCGCGACAAATCTCGTCCAGGCTCAGCTGTTTGGTGCTGAAACTCAAACATGCGACGTGCGAACAAGATCGCTAACGCTAGATCACTAGATCATCAGATCTTTAACGCCAGATCGCTAGCTGTAACGCTAAACAAAACATGAACAGAAGGTATATAGTCCTGTACCTTCCGTCAACATCATGCACGGTGTTCCAAAGCATTGCCTGTCTGGCCCGGGCGCCTTCTCGAAGCTGGCTGGCGGGCGCCGCTTGGTTTGCTGCCGTGTTTGGTCTCTGCCCACGGCCGCCAGCGCTGTCCTGTGGCGTATTGTAGCTCTTAAGTGCACCGCGGTGAGCGGTACAATGTTGGCAGACGTTCGCATACACACTTTCCTAGACGCACCAACACCACAAGCCGGCTGGCAGGCACCACGGCTGATTCTAACATATTGCTTCATGCGTGTCTTGAGTTGGCTTTTAACGCCTGAAGGATGCTTAGAATAGCCATCCAGCAACGACGAACGCGAATTCCAACAAAATTAGTGAAGGCGTCGCTACGATAGTTTCCGCTCGGCTCTTCCCGGCGCACAGGCGTAGCTGCTTCTTGGACTGCTTATTGCATAGGTCCTTCTCGCAGTAATGAAGCAAGAAGGAGCACTCTACCTGCCCCATATCGTCTAGCACATTCTTCCGCACGCACTTGTCCATGTTGAAGCCTTCCTGTCTCAGGACGCACCCCCTGGTGGCGTACTGCTCCGCGGCCGCTGCCAGGCCACAGAGCGGCGTGAGTGTACACGGCGCCCACGTCACATGCACGGGGACAGGCACAGAGACATGTGACACGGAAAGCGGCCAGCGTACACAGATATGTTGCACAATGTAGAAATGGTGTGACGTATGATATTCTTGCGGCTCGTTTTGGCAGTATCACCATAACTTCTGAAGCCACTAGATATTTTCTGGTTCGTTCTCCACTACAACTTTCGTTTTCCCAAGTCATTGTGCCCTACGGGCATCCCTTGAACAATGTGACAGCAGCTAGACTAGCCGGGACGAGCTGGTGAAGAGCGCCCGTCGTTATAGGCTAATAACGGGCCTAGAGAGCTCCGCGGCACAAGGGGTCCCGTTACAGGCACGGTGCCTAACAAGTGCCAAGGCTTCTGAGCGGCGAGGCTCCCTCTAAAAGGTCCAAGGCGGGCACATAGCCAGCAAGGGTGCTTGCGCGGCTGGCTGGACAGCCAGGATTTGTCCTGAAATCTCGTAGAAGTGCGCGACTTATGAACTATCTAACATCCGCCGTGAATCATCCCGCGTGCAGCGGCGATAATAGTTGATAAAAGCAAGAGAAGCTTCTGTTTTAGCATTGTGTTCTTATTCTGAGAGTGGTTGATCTTTAATGAGCCAGGATTTGGCGTGGAAGTGCAACATCAGGTGATCACTGCCATACGTTATGAAAACGCGCATGGTCGTTCCTGACCATGAGCGCAGCTCGGTTCGTTCAGCCGTTCCTCACCCCAAGCGAAGCCGCATACCCAATCACCATCTGTGGGGCATTCCAGCGTGATTGCTCCATAGTCCGTTTTGTCGTTCACCTCTTGGCAGAGCGGCCAAGTGGAATAGTTTTGCTTAAACATCTTGCCCTCCGACTCTACGATGCTGTACTTGCCATCCACTAGCAGCTTATTGGTCTCGGCTATCTCCGGATCGTGATCAGGCTTGCATGAAGCACACTTCAGCGAGTGGCCTGGAGCGAAGAGCGGATTCATCAGAATGCTATGTTTTGGGCGGGAAATATGTACTGAGAAGTGGACTCTAGGTGCATCGCATGTCAAGCAGCGACAGTCAATACAAAACCACGTGATGCACAACCAATGAGAAAAGTGACGTTTCACCTCTACGCTTATAATTGAAATTGAACAAAGCTGATTAAGCGCGTATCTGCACAGATTTCACGGATGTCAAATATCGTTATGAGTAACTTTTGTACAAATCCGGGACATAATCCAGCGCAACTGAAACATCCTCAGTAGCATAATACTATAAAAACCACCACCTAGTGGACTGATATGTGTATGCTTGTCAACTGCATTTTGCACATGCATCCAACTCAAAATGTCAGACTTCTGATTATAAGAAGCATGATTGCATTCTGCTCAAATAAATTTTCCATAGCTGTCTCAACATATTCAGAACGCTAAGCGTGACTCAACGTTCAACATGTGTTTACTCGAATCAAATCTGCGGTTCTCCGACCGTATGCATAATCGTGCCTCCACTGGCTCGATGTAACGATGAAAACCGCCACAAATTCGTAGTCTGTTTAGCAGAAAAGAAATTAAGCAGAGGTACCTGCTTGATGAATTAATCAAATGCGTTATGTTGGCCTAGAATTTCACTATATTAGTCCAAGCAGCATTGCTGCCCTGGTTTCAACAGCCATTCATCTGTTCTGATAGCTCAGGCTCGGTTAGAACGTTTGCCTTTTGATTAACTTATCTGTGATGGGTATGTTGGGTCACCTAATGCCCTGACTATTGGCCCCTGATTAGAATGTGCTACGGCCCTGGCAGCAGCTTTACTTAAGGTCAGGTGATTGTAGGGGCAGTACGAATAGTGCCGAAAAAAATCGGCGCTTTAAGCTTTTGCCCAAAATTCTGCCGTTGGCCCGGAATTTCACGATCGGATCAGATGAGGTCAAGGCTCCGCAACAAACCCTGTTAAGCGAGGGTGTTGATACCAGAACTCCATCCAATCAAAAAGCCCTGGACTGAGTCTTCAAATATGAATGGTAATGCTAACCGATTCCTTTAATGAACATGGTATGCTACGCATTGGTGGTGGTCAATGTAAGTCGGCATCGTCATGGATGATTTCAAATCACTCACTCGTGTTTGCAGGCCTGTAGAAAGTAACTTATTCGCCGAACGTTAATGGAGTGTACAGTTTTTGTAACCATTCTGTCGACACATCAATCAGGGCTGCTCAGAATTGTCACTTAAAGGGCACCCGTCATCCAAAATTCAAATAATGCCGAGATTACGTACCTGTCATGCAGAGCGTGGAAGATAACCCGTACAATAGCCATATTGTCACCGATCCCATTGTTCGATGAGGGCTAAGAATCACCTCGCTCAATCGTGATAAGTGAAAACGTTTTGCTACATCACGGGAAAGCATGAATGGCAGCGATGAAGAAACGACTCATGAATTCGTGATGTATATCTGCATTGATCAACCGATGATGGAATAGATTGCCTTTTTTGACAGGTGACGGGAGGATTTCAGATAAATTCCGCTGCATTGATATCGTGATGCCGCTTGACATTGTTTGCGGCAAGATATATATAAATTGGCGTTTATTTATATCTTCTAGTGCATGCCTTGGCTACACTGACACCTCCCTGAAAAATATTATCATCGTGAAGCTGGAAGATGCGTACATATGTGATTAGTATGGAGGCTGCGAGCTGAGAGAGTCCGGAGAGTCTCTGAACGCTAATTAGCAGGAAATTTTACGCTGCAGCGATCCAGTCCAGCCCGGTTCGGCCAGGAAAGTCACACTTTTAGCGTTATACCTCTGCAACCATCGCGTGGATTCCATCGCCGCAGACCTTGCAACAACAAAAATTTGAGTTTATGATAAAATGTTTTCAAGGTATCTAGATGCAGTGTTTAAGCAAACGCCGCGTGCCTATGACGACACATTATCACCAAAATTTAGTTTCTCCTTAACGTCAACGAGGAACGCAAAGTTTTCAAGTTGCGAAAAGCTGAAAAGCACAGGTTGGAAGCAGGCCTAGATCTCGGCTACAAGGTAAGCAGATAAGCTAACGCCAGCAGAGGGAACAACGGACAACTGTGCTGGCAAGCGTATGGCTCGACATGCGCATGTTATCACGTGCTAGCGCAGGCGAACCATGGATCTGTTCGTTTTGAGGCGTTTTTGAATCTCGGAGTTGAGCAGCCAGACCAGATGCAAATGTGACTAATGAACCCCACAGTGTCGGTGAATGTAGCAGCTGCATTTCGTTAACAGTCCCCAAAACAGTCTGACCATTAGGTGCACCAGCAACCGACCGAAAAGTGGTCAATCGTTGATCATTGGCGGAAAGATGGCAGTGCCATCTCTCCAAAAGCATGTTTCGAATGCAAGGCGCTATGACCTAAATAGAAAGAATACAAGATAAGCCTTAAAGATTCTCTCGAAACGAAGACGGTATGACCTAAACACAAGGAATACAAGACAAGACTGCAAGGCTATCTCGAATGCAAGGCGTTATGACTTAAACAGGAATATATCTATAAGATACCGTCACTTAGGTAAGTGCAGCTCGTTTTCAACAGAACGCTCCGAATAGCCAGTGCCTTGCAGCATGACTGCCGGCTGACGAACAATGTTGCCTATATTTTAATCCTCGCTCAAAGACATTGGATCGAGTCTGTTGCTCACTGAGAGTGAGATTCATCGTTCTCGTGCTACGTAAAGAATAATCATTTTTTTAAGCGTCTTATCATGCTTATTAACCGCCATGATCGTCACAATCAGGATGATATACAATAATCAGCAGTATAGCAGCATAGCAGCAGCAAGCAACATATATATATATATATATATATATATATATATATATATATATATATATATATATATATATATATAAGCTGTGAAGTAGAACAGTATGGTTAATAAATCAACGGTGTTAAAAAGCTTTTCGGACAATGATAAGTGAAGAAGTGTGGTCAAGTTTTCTTTTGGACCACATCTTTCACATTGCCCACAATGCTGTCAGCTACTCACTAGCATAGCTCCCATCTAGATGAGGCATCACGTAGCGACGGGCTAGAACACTCGATAACTGGCCGGCTCCGCTCAAACTCCAGGCACCACATCAAACAACAGCCGGAGTGCGCTATGGAACGCAATGCTAGCTCACAGATACCGCACGGTCCATTGGCCAGTTCACAATCGCTTTGGCTGAACACAGTCTATGGACGCAAAATCTTAGCGGTTTTCTGCTCTGAGCGATGTTTGCAACTATAGCCGACTCAGGAAACAGAAAACATTTGAGTTTGACTGGGCTATATTCGTACACATGATAATGTGCGGTGCAATATAACCTTCCCGGATCTGCTCTCACACTAAGGAAAACGTCCTCCTTAATTGCAGGCACTGCGCAGGCTGCTGGCTCGCTTGCCTAGAGCGCGAAAACTACGTGAGTAACTGAAAACAACTGAGAGGTGAGGGACGTAAAGCATGCGCACACAAACACACACGCACACACACACACACACACACACACACACACACACACACACACACACACACACACACACACACACACACACACACACACACACACACACACACACACACACACACACACACACACACACACACACACACACACACACACACACACACACACACACACACACACACACACACACACACACACACACACACACACACACACACACACACACACACACATATATATATATATATATATATATATATATATATATATATATATATATATATATCTCTCTCTCTCTCTCTCTCTCTCTCTCTCTCTCTCTCTCTCTCTATCTATCTATCTATCTATCTATCTATCTATCTATCTATCTATCTATCTATCTATATCTATATCTATATCTATATATGTATGTGCATATATCAAAGTCGGAATAGTTGATGGTCGTCGGCGGAGGCCCTCGGCCGCCTCACAGCCAACATGACTGGTTCTGGTACCTTTGTCATCATGTACCCCTGCCCGTCTTGGAGAGTTCTGATTTTCTGGAAATTCTCTGAATTGTTGAATACGGCTATTGTAATCGTTCTTCTATAACATATCCGAATGCGAAGGCAGGAGATGCATCTTCAGCATTCAGCATTCCCTATTACTCCACAAGCCACTCAATCAATTCCATGACAGTTTTAAGTTTAATGAGATTCACCTGTATCGTAAAATATGTGAACATACTAGGTGAATGCCGATTATAATGAAAAGAAAAACATGCCTGTATACTTTGCATCGCACGATCTTTGCTCACTCTCAAAAACAAATTAATCGAGTTTTATCTTAAAATTTCAAGAACGAGGCTCATTCTCAAAATTTGTGTTGAATTTCCTAGAATTTCTGCCAGATCTCGGGGATTTTATCGAAGCCTTTCTAGGCTGTAACAGACAGCGGCTCATTTACTTCACAGGACTGTGTATCTATTACGCCTCGGCCTTGTTTAAACACGGTTTCTAGAATCTGACGTTACTTACGACTGGGATCATTCATTGACGGTCAACATAATGATTGGCCGAAACAGCCGATACATGCTGAGGCAGACTGCATATCAAAACTCACGTGAGTTCTTTTGTGAATTTACGAATCTTAGCAGAGGTCTTATTCGCCGGCTTGCACCACAGGTAAAACATGTTGCATACACCGGCGGATTTACTCAAAGGTTTTACGACAACGAAGTAAATCTGAGTCGGAGTGCGATAGCAAAACCTGAAAATAGTTCACGTGTCGTTGGCGCTAAGTATGAGAAGTGCGTCACGGCTGTAGAGGATATCAAAATGCAATAAAAATCTACGGGGGTTCGAGCTGAGTAATTTTCGTTGATGAATGTGCTTGTTGGCCGGTCCACAGGAGGCACAGATATTTTGTGCTAGGAGTGGCCCATACCAGTAACATCCCGGTAAGTGTGTGTACGTTGGAAAATAGTATTGAGCTGGAACATCGTAAATTTGAAAGGATAATATTCCAAACAGCTTGCTTATATATATATATATATACAACGGGAGCTTTCAGGACAATTTGCACCCCTTCTTCAGCCTTGGTCAGACAATGATATTCTCGAAAATAGATTTTGGCATGACCTAAAAAAAAAGAAATATGCAATCAACATACCTAGACTCTTAAGATAACCAAAGTAGAATTACTGTTTTTCATTTTAGCCGCAGATAAATAATGCAAAGCGTTGAAATATAACACATGAAATGGACTCACAACTTTGCACGACTGTAAAACACTTTGTGAATGCTACTATGTCACATGATAACTAACCGACACCACGCATACGACGCATGCGACATATAGCAATACTTAAAGCAAAATAACGCAAACATATGCAAATTTCCTGACCCGAAGCCCGCTATCGCAACTCGTATTACATATTACCCAAGCCGACTCCTTTTTTCAGCCCCTATATTTCAAATTTCGATGCTCACTCGTCGTAGGTGCCCCAGGTGTAGCAGTCAGAAGCTTGTCGCTGCGCATTCTAGTGATGAAAGTGCTATTTTTAATCTTTCTTTTTCTCCAGTTTGTGTCATAATTTAATTTGTTTCCCCTCACATTTGATGCAATGTGCTGTGTCCGGGATGTGTTTTGATAAGCCTGAATGGCTTATATTCACCTCTCTTATCGCTCTACAGTGCTCGCCCCTTCTGGATTTTAGGCTTTTACAAGTTTTCCCTCACAAAGACCTTTCTGCATTCACATGTGTGTCGGTAAATTATTCCCGTCTTTTGGTGAGCATTACAAATAATAGTTTATCGCCCGAATCACTACAACGCCAGTAAATTGACATGATGTGTAAATATTCTGAAGTGAAAACTTCATCGCGTGAGTTTTTGTGCAATCGGCCACTGGTTGCAAAGTCCGTGAGACTGTTTGATGGTTTCAAGTCTCGTGAGTGTACGTTAGAATCCACGAATAAATCATTAAGAGGCTAGAGCCATAAGGCAAAGTGTCAGATGTCTGTAAAGCATTCACGTGTGATTTAAAAAGAAACAAGCTTATGTACTCAGGTAAGTGAAAGTATGACCCGTGGTCCCAGCCAAAAACTTGATGGATTTAATTTGTGTGTCCCAAATCCACAGCTCGAATCTTCGGGCGTGCATTTCCAGCATCCCCTCCTCCTCTTCCAGCTGTCGGTGAGCCGCTCCTTGCGACCACCCGGCTGATCGGTAGCTTAACAGCTAGCCGGTTGGCTGCAGACCAGCATTGGTGTTAACAATAACAAAGTATTGTAAATAGTATTTATTGGCCATGTTTCGTGATATCCTTACATCAAATCTGCTCAACTGCAAGAATCAATACAATAACAGCGCCTTGGTCGGGTCAGTTATGCGTTACATTGCATTAAAACGTCGTGGTGAATGTAATTCACGACCTCACCACTTAACCTGGGCATTTCATGTCTCAGAATGACGTCAAATATCAATCTTTTCCTTGCTATCCCGCTGCTCATGTTCAATAGAGTATGGCCGTGTCCACACTTAAGCTCACATCCGTGCACACTGAATAAAGGACATCACAAAAGGCCAAAATGATAACTAAGTTCTTAGTCATGTCATGTCGCTCACGCATACCATCAACAAGAACATCACACACGGACAACAGTGTCTCACAAATGCCTTGCATATGCCCTCAATAAATATCGCCTAGCTCAATGGAAGTGCGTCCGGGTCCCGGAACTGAAGCCAGCAGCCAACTGCAAGGCCTCGCTAGAAGAGCCGGACTCGGTGAGAAAGAAACGTAACAACTGTCAGATGACTGTAACTGTAACAACTGTCGGATGCAAGGTACTGTCAAGGCGACGAATCGAGCGACCTCGGAGCGCAAACCTCAGCGCACACGGCGCGCCGAGGGCATTAACAGTAGCTTGCACCAGTCACTGCTCGTCCTGGGATGCCCATTCGCCTCTCGCTGCGCCGAGATCCCACGTTGTAATGCCACTGATGTGCGGAGCGCCCTGGTTTCAGTGCCGACCTCTCCGGTTTCGCAGGGATCCGCCCCCGTCATGGGCGGCCGGGCTGGCCGGTCCGGCTACAGTACTTTGTTGTTGCGCGTCATCCACCGCTTCATGAAGAGGTAGAACATGCTGCACACGTAGATGAGGACCAGCAGGGCGCAGGTGACGGAGAGCGCCAGGACTGACGTCTTGGTGGGGCACTTCTCCAGGACTTCCACGCTGTCGTTCTCAAAACCGAAGTGATCTACGAGAGGGAATGTCATCAGCCAAGCACCAATGACATTTTGCTTGGGGCGGGGGGGGGGGGGGAAGTAGGGCAGTAGCGATCTAGAGAGCCCCTTCACACGGCGGCGGAATGAACGGTGTGTTATGAGCGGTCCGATGACCAGCGCTGAGAATGGCGGTCCGACCAAGGGCTAGTGCCACGTGTCCCCAAGATGATCTTCCGGCAGGATAGAACGAACGACAGCAAGGGATCTGACTGGCATTGTGCTGATGCTTATTTCGGCACAAATTTGGGCATCAGGTCAAGTAAAACTTCTCCCCTTGACCCCGCCGTCCGCCAGCGACCCACCGTCCGCTCGTGACCCGCCGTCTACCAGTGACCCACCGTCCGCCAGTGACCCGCCGCCTGCCAGTGACCCGCCGTCCGCCAGTGACCCGCCGCCCGCCAGTGACCCACCGTCCGCCAGTGACCCGCCGCCTGCCAGTGACCCGCCGTCCGCCAGTGACCCGCCGCCTGCCAGTGACCCGCCGTCCGCCAGTGACCCGCCGCCCGCCAGTGACCCACCGTCCGCCAGTGACCCGCCGTCCGCCCGTGACTCACCGGAGCCGGCACTGTCGAACGCCGTCTGGTGGGTGACGTATGGCGGTACCTCCACCTCGGGCAGGCTGCTGCGCTGCTGCTGCTGCGGCCGCGCGTCCGGCTCGTCGCCGAAGTCCAGCACCAGGATCTCCTGACTCAGAGTCATCGACTCGGGATCGCGCGGGTCCTCCACCAGCATGGTCGGGGTAAGCGCACGCTTCTTGCGGCCCCAGGACTCGAACTGCTTGCCGTTGTGCGAGCACTGGGCCTGTGAAAACAGCGAATGCGCCTTTTGGGTGGCGGCTTTGGGATATGGACACAAGTTTTTATGTGGACACAAGTAAAGATATAGACACAAGTAAAGACGTGAACAGTTGGCAGACAACGCATGACTGTGTTTGTATATGGAGATGCGCGAAAACTGAATATGTGTACCTTACTTTCGCTTACGGAGGCACACAAAGAATTGAATACCTGTATATTAATGCGAGCAACCGGCGAATATACCACAACTGGGCGCAAGGAAAATCCAGGTGCACCCCTTATAAGTTACATTTATGATTGAAAGTGAAAACCTGCGTTCGAGATCGCGTGGTGCGGGCAGTATGATTCCCCGACCGACTCACCGGCTGACACTGGCCCAGACAGTACTTGACGTTGCACTGGAAGATGACACCGTACGACTCGGTGAAGCGGAAGGCCTCGTAGGTGGACTCGAGGGAGTTGATGTTGGACGTGAAGCGCGGGAAGATGTTGGGGTCGATCGGGCACCTGCCGAAGAGTAGCGCGACATGTCGAGGGCAGAGTGCGGTGAAGCTCATGGCCTTTCAGAGGGGGCCAGGAGCCAATGGAGGAATAGCAGCGATACTCGCCTATTGGTTTTGAAGCACGGGTATTGATATTAGGTCATTTTTATATGTAGCGAAGTTAGCTCATATACAAATTGCGATTCCTTTGAATTATTTTTCCAAGAAGAAAAGCCTTGTCTGGCGATACAAAACGTACCCCTGATCGTCGATGATCTGGAAGGTGCTCTTCGCGTCCTTGGCCATGGCCACACAGTTGCGAGCGAAGATGCCGTACGGGGCTGAAAAACGATCAGGTAGGGCACGTTAGCGATACACCCGCACTGATGACCCCATGCGGTACTCATGAACCCCACCTGTAAAAACATGATGGGCCACCCGCAGTCGCCGGACAGGACCCCACTGCCGACTTACTCAAAGCAGGCGGCATAGCGTTTGCAGATGGACACTTCACACGGGCGGCGCTTGTAGTTACGTCGTGGTGCAAAGTAGCGTTCTTCCACCTTGTGAATGTGCCAATATGGGGTCATGGGCAGGGCACTGCTGACTGGGACTTCTGCCGGGTCCGTTTCTGCATTGCCACCACGTGACGGGCCGATGCACTCACTGCTGGGGGGGATCTCGATGCGGAATGTGAGCTTGTCTCCGATGCGGACGGTCTCCACCTCCCGTCCGGACGAGTCCAAGATGGAGATCTTAGGTGGCGGCGCAGCCGGGGCAGAGGTGATGGAAATCATGTCGGGATCCCTGCGGCAGAGACCAGTCCTCGTCGTAGGAAGTAGACGTGCTCATGCTCGCTGATGTCCATCAGAGATGTTTTCGCATAGGAAGAGCTCGCAGATGAAGAGCCGAATGCCATGGCAGCACGTGGCATGGAAAACAAAATGTGGTTAGCTCGACATACTCGGTGTTGTGGGCTGTGTGTGGAAAACACCATTTATGTGTTTGGCAAACATCCTCATATTTTCACAATGCTGAATACAATACGCTTTACTACATACGTTTCGATCTCGTACCTGGATAAGCTGCACAGGCTTTGAAAACAGGGCTGTTTCGTGCGCCAGTATGACAATAGCCGGGTGGTAGCCATTAGCAATGATTTTGCCGTGTTTCGCTGTACATGACGCAAGGGAGGCAGTAAAGCGGACGGAAGCAGGGCTTCACAAAACTGATTTGTGACATGTGACACATATAACAATACATTTGCGTGGACAGAAGACAACATGTATCTTTTTCATATGATGGCATGCCTCATATTTAGCATGCTTACAAAGCGCAGTAATAAGATAAGTTGGTTACGTCCCTTAAACATAACATTTCCTGGTCACCGTAGTTCCCTGTTGCCTTCCACGTTCAGGCTAACACATGGCGGGCGTATTAGTGCACTTTAGCAGTTGCATACCATCATGAGTTAGTTGGACTTGCAACATGTAGCGCACACCCGCAGGCAAACACGAGGAAGGACACACAGGCACCGCAGCCCCGGTTCCATCCCGAGGCCCTGTGTGCTCAACCCGGCACGCGGCCGGCCCTTCGGAGCTCATTCTCTGCGACCGCACGGACCGCGCGCCAGACAGCCGACAGGTCTCGGGCCCGGCGCCGACTCGACTGGCGCACGGCTGCGAGACGCCAGACAGCCGACAGGTCTCGGGCCCGGTGTCGACTCGACTGGCGCACGGCTGCGAGACGCCAGACAGCCGACAGGTCTCGGGCCCGGCGCCGACTCGACTGGCGCACGGCTGCGAGACGCCAGACAGCCGACAAGTCTCGGACCCGGCGCCGACTCGACTGGCGCACGGCTGCGAGACGCCAGACAGCCGACAGGTCTCGTGCCCGGCGCCGACTCGACTGGCGCACGGCTGCGAGACGCCAGACAGCCGCCAAGTCTCGGACCCGGCGCCGACTCGACTGGCGCACGGCTGCGAGACGCCAGACAGCCGACAAGTCTCGGACCCGGCGCCGATTCGACTGGCGCACGGCTGCGAGACGCCAGACAGCCGACAAGTCTCGGACCCGGCGTCGACTCGACTGGCGCACGGCTGCGAGACGCCAGACAGCCGCCAAGTCTCGGACCCGGCGCCGACTCGACTGGCGCACGGCTGCGAGTCGACGCGCTCGGAGTACCCGCCGCCGCAGAGGCCGCACCGGCCGCCGGCCACCGGGGCTGTTAACGTTAGTGGGCGGGAGGGGTGCTCTCGTCGCCCCCGAGCCCGCGTGCTGCTGTCCCCCTCTCTCCACCAGCCAGCGCCGTGCGTGTGAGCCGGGTGGGGAGCTCGACAGGCGGGGTGAGGCGAGCGCCTTACCGTATCAACAGCTGTCCCATCGGGCCTGCCTCAAAGTTAGGGTCATAGAACTCTGAGTTGGGATCTTGCGCCGCTTGACTGGAAGGGTCAGAATCGCGTGACTAACTGCGCTAAGCTCCCACGCGCCATAGCGTCTAGACTACGCCCTTCAGATCAGTCACTTGGTGCGCTGCTCTAGTTGTCAGTGCGCTTGTTAAACACCATAACATTGAGCAACACGCTACATCGACCCTGGTTAGACACTTCGCTTGAGCGATATGTGCAGGTTTCGTCTCAGCCCGTCGCTATCCGTGTCCATGCCGAGCCGCTTCAAGGCGGAGGGTCACACGCGGGTTAAGCCCAGCGAGACTTAAGCTTCCTCGCTCGGTATCGAATAGTGACCAGTGCAGCCGATGCCTCGACACCCCTTCCGCTACCCTCCCCCTAACCCAAATATCATCAGTGAGATGGTCAGCTGACTGCACCGCGGCTAATTACTCTGGTCCACACTGAGACGGGCCATCGTACACGACGAGCCTGGCGCGCTATGGAGAAACGAAGTCGAGTGCTGTCGACACCAACGCTGGATCAGCTGGTTACGGCAGACTGAACCCAAGCGAACGCCAAGCGACTGCGGCAGTGTGGCGGCCCTCCCGCCTCCTCACCTGATGGGCATCATGCCGAAGGTGATGTTTCTGGAGGACATGTCGTACGTGCAGCGCACCTTGTAGATCTTGTCCGTCTTGGTCATGACCACCGAGTGGTGCTGGACCACCACGGTGTTGGAGTACACGGTACCCTGCGTGTGGCACGGGGAAGCGTCACTGTCACAGCTCAGCCACGGTCGGCGGACGCTGTCCCTAGAGTCGGATGATCGGCGCGATGGATCGCAGGGCACAAGCCCCACAGACAGCGGATCGCTTTTGTTTACTGCCAGACAGTGGGTCCAGTTCGCCTCTCGGTAGCCACAGTCAGCTTTCGTCGCGTCACTTTCAACACGCCGTGTACGGGTTCTCACGATCGACTTCGCGCTACGGTTCCGACACTCATGCTCGTCTCGCGGCCCGTGATCCGGCAGAGGACGTGATCACGCTCAAGGCATGCACTCACCATGGACTGGGTGTTGCAGTCCTGGCCGGAAAGGCTCAGGTCCAGTCGGAACTTATCCGAGTTCACCACTGCCACGTTGCACGTCTCCGAGCGGCCCAGTGCGTAGATGCGACCGTTGAAGGGTCGGTTGGTGCCCACCAACACCACGATGCGTGTGTCCTTGCACTGCACCGACACTGGAAACGAGGGTCAGCCGGTCAGGGCTGGCACGTGTGTGCGCGCTCCTGTTACAGCTCGGTTATTTCACACGCGTGTGCAAGGCGTACGATGCGATACTGCGTGTTTGTGTTCTAGAGTCGGTTCCACTCAAACGCAGTCGAACAGGATTTTACCATTTTAAAAAACGCGTCCCCCAGCGCATGCTATCTGGACGGGCGTGACCTACCATCGTAACAGGTGCCGGTCGAGTCGCAGTTGACGTCGTTGCCCTCGCCAGCAGACTGGTCGATTCCGTTGCCGCCGGTGGAGTCGCCACCACCGCTGGCACTGCCCGGGGTACCGTTGTCGACAGCACCCGGAGTAGCGCCGCTGCCGCCATCTGGACTGCCGCCACTAGAGCCACCTGGCGAGCCGTCACCAGCGCCACCTGCGCCCGGTGTGCCCGGTGCGCCCCCGCTGCCACCGGTCGGTAGGTCGGGGATCGTCACCACCTGTGTTCCCCCTCCGTCGCTTTCTCCACCAGCTGAAACGGTGTGCAGAAACGCTGACGTGAAAATCCTTCCCAAGCTGTGAGAAGCTTGGCTGTGCGCACCAGCTGTCAACACCAGAGGATTACAGTGAGACCTGGTTATCTTGAGTAAACGGTAGATCGGTTACTATTCGGTGCTGTGCTGTGGCCGTTGCCACAGTTGCGATACACTGAATGATGTCCGTGTGGAGAAGCAGACATGACTAAAATGTACAACGTGCTGCGTCTCTCGGACCAAACCATCTGTATTTTGCTAGTGCTCACACCATACCGCAGGCGGCTTTAAAACCCAATAGCAAACTAAGGTGTATGTCACCTACTATGGGTGCATATTTTTATACCATCTGCATGCCACGAGCACAGGGTTCCTGGGGCGCTGACGCAAGAGATGTGCTGAGCCAGCGGCTACCGGCGGCGTCGCTGTCCCGGAGTCAGGGCCAGAGACTCACCTGCGTCTCCGGCCGAGGTCGGGCCGACGCCAGAGGGGCCGGGCTCGCCGGCTCCCGGCTCAGGTCCGCCGGCCGGTGGGGCGCTGCCGTCCAGCGATCCTGGTACGTGGCACGCAGCACGGTCAGCGACTAAGTATCACTATCATACCACAGTACCACCAGGGCTCGGCTGGCGCGGATTTACGTAACATTTGGTAACGCCGTAGTGTTCGGTGTTGTAACCAAGAGCCGCAGTACAGTAAGGCAACTTTGGCGTAGGCTCATCATATTTGTTTGTTTGAAAAACAACACATGTAGATTACAACGTAAATCATGATTCCGTGGCCTCCACTGAGATGTATAAGCTTGTCACAGGAAAACACGTACTCCATCAGTGCATAGCTTTTACAATCACCAACACTTATCTGGAAAAACAGCAATGTTCAAAAGCATTAACGTGACAACGAAATTAGTAGCCGAAGCTTTCGAACACCTCCTGACACGATCCCGTCGTGTTACATAAGGTGTCAGTCACCGGCCGTCAGTCCACTCAGGCGGCGCGCGGCGTGTCAGCCAAGCGTCAGTCACAGCCGCGCGAGCTGGGGCAACCCGGCGCCACCCTCCCACGCCTCGCGCATGACCAGTCAGCGGGTCTGTCGGCCCTGACGGCGTGGAGCCGGCCCGAGCCGCAGCAGTGCCATGTGCTGGCCACCGGCTGACTACTCGTCCGCGGTCTGCAGCGGACGGCTCGGGGACAGACGCCGGCGGTGATTGGTCGAGAGGGAGGCGTGGGCGGGGGTTCCGCGGGGCTCACATGCGACCGTTTCCTCCACCCATGCGACCGCCACCGGGCACCCTCGAAAGAGGGGTAGCTTCAGCGTCCGCCGACCCTGCCGAGACACGTAGACCCTAACATGGAGGCCTACCTAGCCGGTCTGCGCCGGTGTCAGGCCCGACAGCCTCTGGCGGATTCTTTGCTACAGTACTTTCGCCGGTGGGAGGCACTTGAGACGGGGGGAGGTACACCACTGGGGGAGTGGTGCCCGAGAAGAGGACGGCACCCGAGGAAGGGCTGGCACCCGAGGAGGGGATGGCACCCGACGAGTGAATGGCACCCGAGGAGGGAATGGCAGCCGGGGAAGGAATGGCAGCCGGGGAAGGAATGGCAGCCGGGGAAGGAATGGCAGCCGGGGAAGGAATGGCACCAGGGGAAGGGCTGGCACCCGATGACGGGATAACGCCCGAAGAAGGGATCTTCCCTGACGAAAGGATCGCGAGCAAAGAAGGGATCACACCCGATGAAGGAGGCTTACCCGATGGAGGGATCGCAACTGGCGAGGGAGATTCACCCGATGATGGGGTCGCACCCGACGAAGGATGTTCATCCGATGGAGGGACCGCACCCGGCAAGGGAGATTCACTCGATGATGGGGTCGCACCAGGGGAAAGAGTTTCACCCGAGGGAGATATTGTACCCGGAGAGAGAGATTCACCCGATGATGGGGCTGTTCCAGAAGAATGAGTTTCATCAGATGAATGTACCGCACCCGACAAAGGCGATTCATCCGATGGAGGGATCGCATCTGGCAGAGGAGATTCACCCGATGATGGGGTCGCACCCGAAAAAGGAGATCCATCCTTTGGAGGTATCACACTGGACGAAGGAGATTCATCGGATGGAGGGCTCGCACCCGACGAAGGTGATTCATCGAATGGAGGGATAGTACTCGGCAAGGGAGATTCTCCCGATGGAGGGGTCGCACCCGACGACGGAGATTCATCCGATGGAGGGATCGCATCCGGCGAGGGAGATTCACCCGATGATGGAGTCGCAACCGAAAAAGGAGATTCATCCGATGGAGGAATCACACTGGGCAAAGAAGACTCATCGGATGGAGGGATCGCACCCGACGAAGGTGATTCATCTGATGGAGAGATCGCACCCGGCGAAAGAGATTCGCCTGATGATGGGGTCGCAACCGACGAGGGAGATTCATCCGATGGAGGGATCGCACCCGGCAAGGGAGATTCACCCGATGATGGGGTTGCGCCGGGTGAAAGAGTTTCATCCGATGGAGGGATCGCACTCGGCGAAGGTGATTCATCCGATGGAGGGATCACACCCGGCGAAAGAGATTCGCCCGATGACGGGGTCGCAACCGAAAAAGGAGATTCATCCGATGGGGTAATAACACTGGATAAAGGAGATTCTTCCGATGGAGGGATCGCACCCGACGAAGGCGATTCATCTGATGGAGGGATCGCACCCGGCAAGGGAGAATCACCCGATGATGGGGTTGCGCCGGGCAAAAGAGTTTCATCCGATGGGGGGATCGCACCCGACGAAGGTGATTCATCTGATGGAGAGATCGCACCCGGCAAGGGAGATTCACCCGATGATGGGGCTGCGCCGGGCAAAAGAGTTTCATTCGATGGGAGGATCGCACCCGACGAAGGCGATTCATCTGATGGAGGGATCGCACCCGGCGAAAGAGATTCGCCTGATGATGGGGTCGCAACCGACGAGGGAGATTCATCCGATGGAGGGATCGCACCCGGCAAGGGAGAATCACCCGATGATGGGGTTGCGCCGGGCGAAAGAGTTTCATCCGATGGAGGGATCGCACTCGGCGAAGGTGATTCATCCGATGGAGGGATCGCACCCGGCAAGGGAGATTCACCCGATGACGGGGTCGCAACCGAAAAAGGAGATTCATCCGATGGGGTAAAAACACTGGATAAAGGGGATTCTTCCGATGGAGGGATCGCACCCGACGAAGGTGATTCATCTGATGGAGGGATCGCACCCGGCAAGGGAGACTCACCCGATGATGGGGTTGCGCCGGGCAAAAGAGTTTCATCCGATGGGGGGATCGCACCCGACGAAGGTGATTCATCTGATGGAGGGATCGCACCCGGCAAGGGAGATTCACCCGATGATGGGGTTGCACTAGGCGAAAGAGTTTCATCCGATGGAGGGATCGCACTCGGCGAATGTGATTCACCCGATGGAGGGATCGCACCCGGCGAAAGAGATTCGCCCGATGATGGGGTCGCAACCGACGAGGGAGATTCATCCGATGGAGGGATCGCAATCGGCAATGGATATCCATCTGATGGTGGAGTCACACCAGGAAAAGGGGTTTCATCCGAGGGAGGAACTGTACCTGGTAAATGAGATTCACCCGATGATTGGGGCGCACCAGACGAAGGAGTTTCATCCGATGGAGGGGTCGCGCCCAGCGAAGGAGATTCACCCGATGGTGGGGTCGTACCCGATAAGGGAGATTTATCCGACTGAGGGATCCCACCCAATGAAGGAGATTCATCCGATGGAGGGCTCGCACCCGACGAAGGCGATCCATTCGATGGAGGGATCGAGCCCGGCGAGGGAGATTCACCCGATGATGGAGTCGCACCAGACGAGAGAGCTTCATCCGAGGGAGGGACTGTACCCGGCAAGGGAGATTCACCCGATGATGGGCTTGCACCAGACGAAGGGGTTTCATCTGACGGAGGGATTGCATCTGGTGAGGGAACACCATCCGGCAAGGGTTTAAAGGTATCCTCGGATATGTCTGCGGGTGGGGGAGCCCCGGCTGTGGGGTCGGCGCCTTGCCCGGGGGTGCCGGCCACTGCCGTGCTGGGTGCCAGCTGTTCGGGACTGGGCCGCCTGACCACTAGGGTATCGTCGAGGGGAGCGGCGGTGGGCGGCGGCGGACCAGGCAGCACCGCAGGCCCCGACGGCTCTGTGTAGAGAAGGTGCTTGGTGTCACGTGCCAGCCATGCGTCGGTGCGTGCAGGTGCGCCCCAGGTCACGTGGTACGGTCTCGAGTCGCGGCTCGGGTCAGTCGTGCGATGAAAGGCGCCAGATGATCACCAGGCTGGGGGCAGCCCTCTTTTCAGGGTAGTCAGGGGGAGGCAGCCAGATGGCTTGCGTTTTGGGAAAAAGCGGCACAAGCCGAAGGGCGGCCATCGGACTGCTCCGCCGGCCAGCACTGGCATTAAAGGCCAAATCATCGAGCGCCTCGGGTCGGGCAGCGTCGTCGCGTCAGACTACGGGCGCTGTTTTGTGACCAGACTGCACCGGGACGGTAGGCTCGGGACTGTTGCAACATGACGGCCGTTGCTCTACCAACTAGGCTAATTTTCAGATGTAGAAAAGACCCAGCCGTGTCCAGGAGCTTGTCAGACAGCGCCGGTCTGTCCATGCGTTAGTTATGATTAAGAGAAAGAAAATGAGGAGGGAGCGATTTGTTAGCAAATCGGCCAGACGTCGAATGACTTGGCATTTACCTGCCCTGAAGCTAAACACTCCGGTTTGCCTACTTTTGGGTTTCTCATAGCACATTATTTGGGTGATGTAGCGTTTGTTCTTGGTGACTACTTGGCGGCATATCATGTTGTCAGTCGGCTCTAAAAAGTCAACAACGTCGTCAGTCATGGGTAAAAAGGATGACAATATTGGGACTTGGGATAAGGGAAGCACTTGGCGAAAAAAGTACCACAACTGATAACTTATTTCTTAATGCACGAATAATGGGTACTTGACACGTGGTGCCAAACATTGCCAGGTGGTTGCTTCTTCCCCAATAAATGCCACCATTCCGGTTGGCGTACAGGACACTTGTAAAAGGCAGGCAATGTACAATATGTTTGGATGATTGGGGTGCGCGATAAGAGCAATTAGATGGGGGATGCTTAAGTTCGATTTGCTGATTACTGGAAGGACTTGGTGGCTTTTCAGGACAAGGACACGGTTGCGTCATCAAGTTAAGCAGTGAGCGATGTGATGTGAGTGTATGGCAGTTGCGCCGTTGGAGGAGAAGCAGCTATTGCCGAGCAATGTCGGACATTTAGGCAACTGAGCCCTCTTTACCGTTAAAGACAACACAGAGGAGACGAATGTTATCCTGCCACGGCGATTCAAAATCGAGCATGCTTCGTCCTCCAACGGAATACCGCAACCGTCTGCACACGGACCGATCAGAGGCCTTACGAAAAGCATCGTGGATGCCAGACTATACCCTTGATAGACAGCACTCGCGCTTGCGGCCTCAGACGCATGCATTGCCTCGGTCTGGCCAGTGAAGGCACCAGTACCGGCCTGCTGCGGTCTCTGAGCAGTGACGTCTCCAGGGTGATGTTGTGAGTGTGCACAGCAGTGTCAAGACAGTCGCTCTGTCGGCCGGAGCAGGCTCGGAGGGGTGGGGTGGGGGTGAGGGGTGGGACGGCCCGTCCCGGCTCGAGTTAGAGAACGCGGGACGACAGTTAGCGGTCGTAAGTGATCACGGGCGCACGTGTCCAGTCAGAAGTCAGCACACAAGAGCAAACACAGCCTGGAAAAGGGAGCGCCGTTAAGCATATGGGTGGCGTTTGCGGGCGAGTGTGGTGATGTAGACTGGACGAGTACTGGATCAATGTTGGTCCACAGTGAAGGTTTGCATGCTTTCTATAGACAGCCCCGTACTACTATGTGCTCCGTTAGTCTGCCATCTTCTACGATGAAGCTAATTTTCATTCGCCACATCCCCTGCAAGACCGTCAATCGAGCAGAGCCTGTTTAACTCTACAGTGACGCCCTGATGTGCCACAGTGGCAACCCTGTGAGTGGTCTCTGGCTACAGTGACTTGCCCACCCGCTCCCACTGTGGCGGCGTGTGTCGCCCGGCGACGGCGCACTCACTTTTGCAGACGTTCTCATGATAGACGCCCGGCTCGCGCCCCACATCAAGCAGGGGCTGCTCGCTGGAGAGGAAAGTCAGCGCGCCCTCCGGCAGTGTCACGTGGTCCAGGTGGAACAGCTGGCAGTTGTAGGTGGTGCCGGTCGGCGGGCCGCGGTACAGGAACGACCGGCACATGATCTCGTTCTCGATCTCGCAGGCGCGCCGGCACGCTTCCATGTTGTTGGCCTGCGGCGACGCGACCGGTCAGCCCCGTCTCCCCACGGTGAGTCGCGCGCGCCGTTGCGCTTCTGATGGGCGCTCAGCGCGCATCCTGGCCTTGACAGACTGGGCCATCAGTGAGAGAATCGTGCGCTGCCGCGGTCTGTGGACCGCGCCGAAGCGTCTGTCGACAGATGGCAACCAGTGGGTGCCCTCGTTCCGTTAAGACGCAGATCGCCCGATCGGTCAGCGCCGGCTTACCATCAGCTCCAGGTCGACGTAGTAGTGCGTGTCTACGTAGCGATTAATGACATCGTTCGGCACGCCAATGTCGGGTGTGGGGAACTCCCGGTCACCCTTGCACGCCTGGTCACCTGGAACAAGTTCAGTTTGGTTTGAGGAAGAACGGGACACTTAGTTTGGCTACTGGCCTCCATTCCTACTAAAAATTGCTGGTCTCTCGACGACAGGGAAGCATGCATTCAAAACCGCAAGGTTTTCGTTCTCACAGCAAATCGACGCTATTAAAGCACGGTACATTCGTTCAGGTATGCTACATTTGCTTATCCTGAGACAGCATCCAAAAACGATCATAGGTTGGCTAAAGCTGCGATGGCAGTATCTCGACTCGAAAATCATGCGTGATATCAGCTTCCTTGACTAGCAATGGCGCATGGCTATCAACTGTTTTAGGATTGCGGACGATAAGCTGCATCATCCAATTGGCGTTGTCCTTCCAATAGAATCGTGACTTGCACGTTGCGTACTGTAGCTCCAGTGGAAGTGTCATTATGAACAATATGCAGCGCCATGCGGGTTCTCCTCCCATGAAACGCTCCCACATGACCAGTCTCCGACAACGCTCCCACGTGACCAGCCTCTCACAACGCTCCTACATGACCAGTCTCCGACAACGCTCTTACGTGACCAGTCTCTGACAACGGTCCTATGTGGCCAACCTCTGACAGTCAGTTGACGATGGGTCGAAATAACAAGGCTGATTCCGGGGCGGCCGTGTTAAGGCATTGCAAAACGCTACGTGGTGTCACGGCTACGATTCTCCGTCCGACAAAAATTGCTTTTTGATGACGGGGGGTTCAGAGTCTTCGCGATTACCTATGTTCGGCAGGGGCTGTTCCCAGAGCCTGTGGCCAAAAAGACCGGACATCACTTCTGGCCAATTCTGTTTTCTGGCATGGACGTCCCATTTGACACCGTGCTCTCAGATGAGGACGCAGTTTGTCACGGAACTGTTGGTCATGCCAGGCCACTCAGGAGGCAAAAGCGCACAAGTGGAACGACCGTTCACAAAATGGCATCTCCATTGTTCGGGGCCGTGAACCGGTTAGGTGACGCGACAAAGGCGGAATGGGTTTAATCTCACAACGCGCCCGGTTTTCAAAGCCTGCGTGCAGGGCGCAAAGATGATTACCGGCTGACTGTGTGGTGCCATCTGCCGGCATTTCTTAGAACTCGGCCTAAATCGTCCATCCTGGCGTACGCAGTAGTACTTCTTGTGGCTTGTCCAGTACCGTTTCGTACTGAGCTGACCAGGTTTTCTTATCGCTGAACTTTTGGGCACAAAATGAGCTCAACCAGTTCTATTCACCGTTAATCAAATGGGTCGGTAAATGCTCATAAAACTTCATTATACTCGCAGTGCGACAGCTAGGAACTAGCTTCAGGTAGATAGCATCGCGAGTTACAGAGTGACCACCCAAGAGAAGGATCACGTTCAAACAGCTAAGAAGTAGGTGACCGGTGTAGACAGCCCCTGCGCCTCTCAGGTGGAGGAGAGATCCAGTGACCTAAAGGTGTCTATCTTTGGCTGTAGACTGACGAGTGTAACCACGCATTCGAATGTACTGAGGTATAACCACCTCTGGTGGTGCTTGATTGGTCAAATCACAAAAACAGACCAATCGTCCCATACGTTATTGGCGCCCGGACCTCAGCGACCCCAGTGGTGTCTATGGCCGTTTTTGGACTGTGCTCTGATCCTGCAGCAGACTGTGCTCTGGCCCTGCAGCAGACTGCTGTGACCTAGTAGCAGACAGGTGTGACCTCGAAGCAGACTGCTGTGACCCCGAAGCAGACTGCTCTGACCCCGAAGCAGACCGTTGTGACTCGGCATCAGACTGCTGTGACTCAGCAGCAGACTGCTGTGACCCCGCAGCAGACTGCTGTGACTCAGCAGCAGACTGCTGTGACTCAGCAGCAGACTGCGCCGTCACCGGATCGTGCCGCCGCCGCCGCTGTTCGGCGCCATCTGGCCTCAGTTGACGGCCCCTTCACCGTTTAACGGTAGGATCGCCGCACCTGGCGCGCCACTCAGTCGCCATCCTCCAACAAACGACGCCCCGGTGCGGCCCAACGGCGCCGACAGAACGGCCGGAACGCGCGGAACGGGCGGCTGCAACTCCCGGACCGGGCGAGCCGAAACAAAATGGCGAAAATCGCGTAATGCTCAGCGAGTCCGGAACCACATTCCATGAACAGACACTGGGATGCCTGCGAAAATTGATATGCTGCCAATGCTGTGATGTAAGCCTGTCTTAGATTCCTTATTTAGCAATGTATCTATTTGACACGACAATTTACGCCATCTACCACATTTGGTTCAGGTCCCGGTCAGTTTAACTGGAGGATATGCTGCATTGCCATTCCTGCCATTGAAATGCATTTCCCACCAATGATCCTCAAGTGGCCATCGTCCACAGTCGCAGCCAACACGTGAAGCTGCATTGGGGAGCCGTTCGGCCGTCCGACCACACCACCGTGGGCTACCGCCGCCCGCCTCGGACGCGCTGGACCTTATCTGTGGACTCTGCGTGGGAATGCATAGCGCGAGCGGCGCCCGTGCAGCACGTGTCCTCAGCCGTGGTAACGGGCCGGGCTGGGCGGCGGCGGACACGGGTAACGGCCCCGCGCGGATAGGCGGCTGTGCCGTCACGGCGACAGGGTACGGAAAGGCGGCCGCCGCGCCCCCGAGCGCGAGGGGAACGGCTGGTGACGCCGGTCGCACGTGGCCCGCCTGTGGACGCGGCCCTCCGCCGCAACGACGGACGGCGTACCCGTGGAGGGCTCTTCGGCCGGACGAGCCTTACTAGGACTGTGCAATTGCGGAGAGCTCTTCTAGATGGGCTGAGATGTTCCGGTGCGACGGTAGGGATGGGCCAGATCTGAGCGGCGCTGGCAATGGCTGGCTGATGCCGGGCGGTAACATCGCGCTGATTGTGTCGGCTGGGCTTATCTCGTCTCACATCAAGCCACTCGTAAACGGTACAAGGTGGAGTGAAACCTTATCTTCGTTGCATGGGCCTACAAACAGGCGCTTGAAATGTTAATTGGTGTTTACGATGGTCTGAGTGCCCGCAGTCGGGCGCGGGTCAGCCCAAATGAATCGGGTTCAGCGCCGTGACTCGTTACGGAGACTATGGGCTGTTGTGGTGACTGAGAAAGGGCGGATCGATTGGTGCTGTTTGGTTTTGAGTGGGCCTTGGCATCCAGCTAGGCGTGAGCGCTTGCCCAGCGCATGGAACGGAACCTTAAAGGGACTCCACCCTTGCTCAGGATGAACTCTGTAGTGCTAGCTCAGAGCTCTGTAGTGCTTGCCGTACTCTCTACGATGATGCAAACCGTGATGGTAGCTGGGCCTTTGAGGTTGCCTTCGCTCTTAATTCCTTGTGCGAGCTCTGTGCAGCGCTCCGTGACACCAGTGGCTGACTTCCAAATGTCAGGTCTATCCCGAACGACGTCCACCTCCCACTCGGCGGCGCTGGCGGTGACGGCCACCCGCCAGCGAGCGGGCACTCACCGGTGAGGCAGAGGTTCTCGAAGTAGTCGACCTGGTCGGCGTCCACCATCTCGATGGTCTCGTCGACGGAGCGCCGGTCGTGCTCGGAGAGGTGGCACTGGAGGGTCATGTAGCTGTACTCGGCCGAGCGGCACGGGAACCGGCGCTGAAATCGACACCGCGGCGTCACCCGCGTTGTGTTGAGTCCGAGGAGTAGCGGGCTATGACAAGGTAAGACCATGGCCACATCTTGTTTGTTCCTCGTCCTCTGCCGTGCTTTACGGCGAAGATTAACGAGGGCCATATGCTTCCTTCAGTTAGGATTTTCCGAAACACGGGATTGCGGCTGCTGTCCCGACGCGGTCGCAGCAAGCTAACAAATTGCAGCACGTCTAAATTTTAATAAACCGAGAGCATAAGAACCCATAATGACGCTCGTAAATTCGCCGGCGCGTTTCCTTTGTCGGGCTGACGTGTACAAACGGCCGTGGCCACATGCCGCCGCTGTAGAGCTGATCCCGCTACCAAGTCAATGGGATCCCCTGGCAGGTGCGAACACAACACGTGATTAACGGGAGCCGAGTGACTCGTTACCATCCCGCTGCGCGCGCGGTCCGAGACATCACCGCGCCGCTAGGTGACGTTCGCACGCCCCGCCCGGTACGCGGTCCGTTTGGCCGGTCTGGGTCACGGCCCGGCTCCGGGGCAGCTAAGTGGCGGTAGCGCAGCCGCTGTGGCCCGAGCCTGAGATCGCCGCAGCGACCGGTTACGCGCCGTAATTGAATCCTATCGTAACCGGCTAATGAGGCTTTTTCAGCAGGCGACGGCTCGTTTCGGGCGGACAGCACTGCGACAACGGCGTGGCAGGGTGGGAACCATTAACATTCTGGCTGACAGAGTTGAGAAAGAAAGGGGCATGCCAATCAAGCCAATGCTGCTAATGTTCCACCAGCTTTAATTGTGAGTGTAATTGCGACGTCTTAGACTTTTCATCAACACAGGCAGTTGAATCTCTGTGCTTTATGGGTCACTCGAAAGCCTTTTAAGGTACCGGACGGGTCATGAGACGTTGGCACAAATCCGGGGTGCAAAACAATTTTTAACAGGAAGTAACTGTTTTTTATTCCAAGCAGCTGTAGGACGCGTCACCGTCAGAAAGGTCGATGAACCTGTGCGAGGACAAACACTGCGGCCGCCAGACTATGTACGCCAGGCGGCCAGTCATGGTGGATCACTCCGAACCGGAGACGGACAGTATTGTCCCACGGGACAGGCTCACTACAGGCCTAGTAGTAATTCCACGGTTGCTTGATCACGCCGTTAATTCGGGACGATGGTCAGCCTATTCCAACGGTTAGGTGGACGTCACCTGGTCTCGTCCAGATAGACGGTCTCCCGGCGACAATGGGTGTGGTTTGATTGGAGCATCTCAGAAAACCGGCTTAAGGTGAATGACGTTGAGTTTAAAGATTATACCCAAAATGGCATTTTCACCCCGAATATTTTAAAAGATTTTCGGTACTCCGCTCCACTCCACTCCAGCGACTTCACTTACCGACTCCAGCGACTCCACTTATTCGAACAGCGTGTCGGACAGGCTCTTTACCTTCTTCAGACACGCAGCCAGACAGGAGGCTCACCTCGTTTAGACAGGCGGCCAGGCAAGCCTCCTTGGTCGAGGTGAACATGAGAGCATTATCCAGGCCGCGCAGCATCTTCTTGGGCAGACGCTCGAACGTCCAAGGACGGTTGCAAACGTTGTCTGCAACGCACAGCAGGCTGTTATTGAAGCCGTCGCTCACACTCAGCGGTCAGATCACGGCGAGTCCGGAAATGTTGCGACGGGTAGGCGATCCTGGCCTCAACCGTTCGGCGTCGTGCGTCGTGCGCTTTGTCGGTGTCGCGCTGCGTGTTCAGGGCAGCTCGCGCGGCCTCCGGAGCCCGCCTCGCCTCTGAAGACACCGCATCACCGCAGGCCACAGTTCCCTCCCAGGCGGTCACTCGGCCGCCCCGTCCTTGCATCGATCCCCTCCCCCTCACTCCTTTTTTCGCCGGTGGCTGTCACACCTCGGCGAACGCGCCGGTGACCCCAACGGTCGAGGCGGCGCACAACAGCGCAGCGGGAGACGGCGACGCAGCACAAGACAGGTGCCCGGACGCGCGCGACGACGGCTAATCGGCGCGCACGCGCCACGTAAATGTTTCCGCTCAACGGTTCAGTGACGGACGAACCGCCAGGGAGCCAGCCGTGCGTGCGTGGAGAGAGGTGAGAGGGAGGAAAGCGGACGACGAGGGACTTACCACAGACAGGTGCGTACGTATGCATACCAGTGACCTTAGACAGCAATAGAGCAGGCGTCAGTTACGCACGCGCGTACTGTGGTCGCTAGCTCACCAACCTTTCAAACGTCATGCATAACATGAAAACAAGACCGCACACGACATTTATCTTAGGCTTTATCCCAAATCAGCGACAAAACACTGAGGGCATGGGCTTTTCGGAAATCTTCGGCTATTTGTGAGCCGCATGTCCATAGACAACAGAACCAGCGAAACGTTGTTTGGCTACTGGATGAATGTAGTCTGCTGTACCACCATGATGGCGTATATGGCCACGGACAATTAATCAGTGCTGCCTCCAGCTGGTGGTTGTGGAAATCCCCAGCCTATTATCTGTGCTGTCACCGGTGACAAATATCTCTTAAGTGACACTTCACATTACCAAACAATTAACAAGGCGGTAAGTGATAAGCCATGCTAATAACGTGCAGGTGCTACAAGCGAGATTTTGATGTGTGTGACTGACTGATGATGGCTGATATATCTGGTGTACATGTTTGGTTTGCCTCTGAAGAAGACCCAATGTACATGTTTGGACGCTCTCTGAAGGAGACGCAGCATGCGACCTTGTCAGTGGCCAACGTCCGCACAGCGTGTCTTCCGTAGCCGGGCATCACCTCAACCGCACGCCGACCGGCGGCGGAGGGGTAGGGCTGGGCTCCCAGCCTCCACCCGCGCTGACCGGCGGCGAAGGGGTCGGCCTGGGCTCCCAGCCTTCACCTGCGCCGACTGGCCAACAATGGTCCGCCCTGAGGCCGCTGGAAGTTATGGACCGACCGGCGCGGCTCCAGCAGATGGCCGCCGTTCCCGGAGGCGGCCACGCTGGCCGGGGCCGGGGCTAGGGCCGGAGCCGGAGCCGGGTCCGGCCGAGACCGGCAGACCGTGACGAAGTACGGCGAACGACAGCACGGCGCCCGCCGCCGCCCGGCACCGTTAAACGACCGCGCGCCGCGCGCGGCATAATATCGCCGCGATTGGCGGCTGGCGGGCAGGCGTCCAGCCGCTCGCGGGCCGGAGCCCTCGAGCTGTCAGATACAACGTCCTGCTAGCCGGGCGCGAGCAGAATCGTGGCTGCGTGGTGAACCGCAGTTCGCCGAGCGCGAAGCTGCGCCGCGTGAATCAGATAAAAAGCGCGCCGTCGACTGTGACGCCTAACGAGGACGCGCACGACGGCCAGCTGGAGCTGGCCTCCGCGTGCCATTGGCCCGAGGTCAACAGCCCCAGGGGATGAGTGTCGTGCAGTCGCCGGCGCTGGGATGGAACCCGCGCGCCGGTCACGACGCGCTGGCTGTCCACGCCGCCGGCAGCGCGGAAAATGGAGCGTGCTGCGCCGTCAGACGGGCGTGAGCGCTGACGGCGGCGCCCGACGGCGGGCTAAGCGCAGACGTCGGTCAGTCACCGCGGCCGGGACAAGCCGGGCTCGGCCGGGGTATGGGGTCGGCTGAGCGCTCAGCGAGCTCAGGTCTGCGTGCTGAACCGCTGAACGACCCGAGCGATGACCCCGGGCGATCACGTGACAGCCGAGAGCGACCCTTTACGCGGCCGATCAGAGCATAATTGGTGCGCCTTAGGGCACAGTTAGCAAGGATGATGCGCTGATTCGCAGAAAGCAGGACCCCTCGGGAATCAGCGTGGCCGCCGTTGGGATACGGTACTGGAGCAATTGAATCAGCAGTGCAGGTTGCTGGTCAGTGACCTTCCCGAGTCCGAGTGTGTCTCAAAGCAGCACTAGTTATTTCACGAAGCAGGTGGAGTGACGTTCAACAGGCCTGGATCCTGGAGCGTCAAGTGATGATCTATGCGACATTACCTGAATGTTTTTCATTCACACCTATCAAAACGTTGCGCTGGTCGATATTTTCTCAAGGGAAGCGCATGTAACCTGTGCAGAAGAGGCTAACCCGTGCAAGAGGTAAATACAAATCGTTTGGCACGTGATGAGTCGAACAGCAGACACAAAAAAGTTGCAGACAGTAGAAAATGAGCCAAGTGTTAAATGTCAGTGCCTCACCGGAGCGTATTCTGAGCTTGATCATGTAGTAGGTGCTGACGGCCGGCTTAGGCAGGGCCGACGGGTTGTTGGCGGACGTCTCGTTCTGCAGCAAGCACACCGTCTCCTGCACCGGCGTCAGTGGGTTCGTGACGAAGCTGCAACGCCGGGTGCACCCATTACGACACGGCCACGCCGCTGCCGCGTTCAAGACAACCACCCGGGTCGATCGGGGCAGGAAGAGCCGGCCATTTCGCGTCGGTTCTGGTTTGACGGCTGGTGCCGGGAGCGCGGCCGCTCGTGCGGAGGCCGGTGGCTGACCTCCGCGGGTCACCCCCGCCCGACGGCCCCCTGTGCCGACCGCTGGCCAGCCGGCTCGAGACGGCATGAGGCGGGTTCTGCTGCCTGTGCCGGGCGCCGCGGCGGCGGTGGACATCGCTGGCGAAGCAACAGCTCTAGTTTCCACCGATGCGTGCGTGGCTTCGAAGCCGACATACTGATGTCTTTAGTAAGTGAGAGATCATTCTCAGACGTAATCTGCTTCATCAGAGTTAGAGTTTTTAAACTCGGGCTCTTCTCCCCACCGGCTGAGACGCTGCCGTAGCTCTCACCTGAATGAGGCTGCCTGGCACTCGGGCTCCTCCCTGCACCAGCCCTGGCACTCGTACAGGGTCAAGTTGCGGATGGTGTAGTAGGTGTTGCCCCTGTAGTCCATATCTGTCAGCTTCTCGAACGCCACGGCCGCTGTCAGAACCGATAATGTTAGTCAGCTGATGACCAGTCGCATGCCATATGCAACGCTAGCGGTCCGCTTCCTGTAACAGGTTCTGTTACAATCGCGTGAGAAAATCGCGCTGAACAGCTTTGTGAAAGGAATGCACAGGGAATTTGAACGGCTAGGTTGATCGCCCTAAACATTTGACATCAAATACCGTAGTATATTATGGTGTGGGGTTGGGTGTTGCAAGAATTTACAAACTGGTCAAGGAATGTGGTGTCATTGGTTACTTGCGTCATCCTTTTTCACATGATGCTGCTGGTTTTGCAAAACTACGTCGCGAAGTGGTCCCTGAGCCAAGTGCACCAGCAGCTGAGTGTGCAATACTTCTGGCATTTAAAGCTGTCATATTCGGAGTGCGGTACGCGAGTGATAGCCTTCTACCGCGCACAATGTGTGAACCCAGATCCGTAGCGTAGATAATAGTATTCAGCCGCAAGACACGTACTACTTCACGCGGAGTGTGTGAAACACAGTACATACCATCGCACGCTGAGAGTGTGGCTGCGACGAGTGCGATCGTAACCGCGATGTCCACGAATCTCCAGCCCTCGGACCCCGGGCGCGCCATCTTCGATCACCTGGAACCAACGGAAGCGGTTCGTTAGGCATGGCCACAAGGCAATCAGCTCATCTCGATTGCTGAGCAGGTGGGGACAAATGGCGGCCCTTCGCGCTTTTTTTGTCATCCTCCGACAAACGAATGTCGCTCTCGTTTCCGGTCGGGGCGGGATGGCAGCTCGATGAGAGGAGTACCGTGACCAGTATAGGCGTCACACGTCCCTGCCGTGATCAGTGCGGGCGACACACGTCCCTGCCGTGAGTGCACCTCATCGCGCGCAGATTGGATGGCCCCCCGTCTTGACACAATGTGGGAATGTGGTCGTTGACTGGCGCCGATGGAGGACCGGTACAGATTAGTCGCACCCAGGTGAGAGTTTTCCCAATGGCTGACAGGGGGACGCCGGGCCGTGCGGTCAGTTCGGCGCCGGCCCGACACGTTGGGCCGGAGCAGCTTCAACTACGTCCGCCGTCCAGCGCGGTCAAACGTAGGTCCAAAGCGACGCCGCTGAGGCTGCCGAAGCTGAGTCTGCTTCACACAAACGGAAGCGATGGAAAAGAAAAGTGCCTATGCGCTTTGCTATCCTTAAGTGGAGACGCTCGCCCAGAATGTGTTACGGAACGCGTGATTCAAAAACGGTGTGAACTGTCCTGTTTGGCGAGCCTCTTTGGCCAACTCGGGAGGCGGCCCAGCGGAGTCGGACGTGTCGTGTTCGTGCCACACAGCGCGACCTCAGAGTGAAGGGGCGGCGACACAGCCCTTTAAATTGGGTCGGCAGTGAGAACCTCTCCAGCCGTCTTAGCCCAGCTGTCACGCCGGGAGCTGGAGTCTTGAGCGCGCAGCGCCATCACGGACGGCCAGCCCGGCGGCGGGTGTCTGGTGCGTCCGGCCGGTCTGTACCGCGGCGGTGGTGCGTCCGGCCGGTCTGTACCGCGGCGGTGGTGCGTCCGGCCGGTCTGTACCGCGACGGCGGTGCGTCCGGCCGGTCTGTACCGCGACGGCGGTGCGTCCGGCCGATTTGTATCGGACCTCGGACAATACCGGCAAAGATCACGGCCCGTTAGGCGCGTCGAGCCCCCACGGCCGACTAGTTCTCCGGCGCGCCGCCTTTGTCTTCCGGCGGCGAGGCGGCGAGGGCTTTTTGCGCGTAACCACGCCGGGCGTGCGGTGACGGTAATGCGTGAGTACGCGCATTCCACCTGTCGACGGGATTGATGGGGGCAGGCGGCGGACCGTGATGTATATCTCATCGCACAACCCCTTTGTGCGAGGTGTTTGGGGTCGGCTGTTGTGTAAAGCTTCGCTGGGTTGTTTTTGCCGCGTCCCTTATGAAGTGTTAAGCCCGGGCGTTACGACCGCTGGGTCGGCAAATCATTGTCACAAATTCATCGTATGCGAGCCCTTGATGAGAATGCCGCTTGAAATCGGACACGGTGAGCCCTTCCTCTCCGGCAGACGCGGCGTCGCCGCCGAATGCATGAGAGCAGGCATTGTGGCGGGCCTTTGGGTGGCGCGTCCCGCCGCGTCTCGCCGCCCCCCTGCCGAGTGGTCGGCGCTGGAGGCCGCTCCACCAGGTAGGTAAATGGACCATCGCTCACACAGCTGCGGCCAGCGATCGGGCTGCGCGCCGCCCGGCCGCCGGCGTTTTTGTGCGGGAGCCCGCCAGCCGTGTGGATTTACTGCGGACGCCAAACGAACCGACGGCGTTGTGTCCGCGCACGCGTGACTATTTCAATTACACGGGGGATATATCATGCCACGAGCCATTAGCTGGCGCGGCGGTAGGCCGGCTCGGCTGGCGCAGAGACGTCCAGCTCAGAGCCGAGCTTGGAGCGCCGCTGAAGCCGTCGGCCTACCGACCCAAACCTGAGCGACACTAAGGCTCGCGCTCAGCCAGCGCAGAGCCGTCACAACCAACGGCGGCCACACCCACGCTCCAGATGAAACAGCTCTCCGCCGCGGCTCGGCGCGCTCCGCTTCCCGGCGGCCGGGCCGGACGCCGGCCGCCACCGCGCCGGGAAGTGGGCTGGCCGTGCCAGATGGCTGCGCTCAGCGGCGTTACCCAGTTCTGGAAATGTTCCACGCCCGGCGAGCGGCGAGCGCGCCGATGCGCGGCCGTCTCGGTGGCCACCGCGCGCTTCTGACGCTCCAGTAAGGTCAGCGCTCGGCGCTGGACTTTGAAAAAAGCACCGGCTGAGGCTGTCGAAGTGTCTTGTCGCCACAGAGGGGCGGCGCCCGTCTCCTAGACTGAGAGGGACGATTGACCTGGCGGTCCCTGCCGAATGCACTCGCTTGCCAACGTGCCGTTTTGTGAGGCGGAGCTGAAGCAGTCCCATGAGCACGACCTGGAGAGCGCCTCATCAATGAGTCGCTGTCATTCACAGTTCTCATCCCTGATGTTTTGGTGCTCACCTAGCCTGTGCTCTGTACACATACTGCGGCCCAGTGTGGGCCCTGGATGACTTCAGTACGCGCGCACCGCACCTAGGCGTGAACAGTCGAACAGATAGGGATTGACTGACCCAGCCGGCTATTCCACACGGGGCTTGACGTGGGCACAATTTGCCAGCAGCGGACGGATCAATGGCGAGCCCTCACCGAGCAGGGAGTGAGCGGCGTCGGCTGCCGGCTGCCGGCGGCGGTGGGCGGCGGCGGGTGGCGGCGGCGCACCCAGCGAGGCCACGCTACACGCACAGTGCGTGAGGGCGGTGCCCGGAGCCGGCGCACGTCCGGCGTAACGGTGCACCGCCGCCGGCGCCGTAATGACGCCGTCAGCGTCGCTCCGGCGGCGGCGGTCAGCGGCGCGAGGGTGGCGGCGGCTAGCGGCGCGAGGGCGGTGGCGGCGCGGTGCTGGTGCGGCCTCCCCGCCATGCGGGTGGTGACGTCACGCAAGGTCGCGTCGCTCGTCGCCGCATGCGGGCGGGGCGGGCAGAGGTCGCGGGTGGAGGCGCGGGGAGGCTGATGGGGTGGGTAAGGAGAAGGCATGATTTTAACGGTTTTAAAGCGCCATTTGCGGTAATCTGTTTGATTTGTCGTGGGATGAAGTAGACGATGGGCCCAGGCGTGAGCCATACTCTTTTGATGTGTGACGAGAGGCCGTCCGCCGACACCTTAGGTCTCCGTCCGGCCGGACCGACATGTCGCAGGCCCGGCCCTGACCTGGTCCGGCCGGGGCGGCGGATCGCCACGCCGACCTCGCGGGTTAACGGTGTCGGGCGGGTCAAAAATCGGACCCGATGCCGGCCGTGGCTGTTGTTTTCCGGCGCGGCCAGGTCACGTGCGCTCGTGACTCATGACCGCAGCCGGAGAAGAGGCACGCAGACGGTCCCGGGCGCGGCGCAGGCCTGAGCGCGCCTGTGCAGACGCGGCGTTCTGGAGCAGCGAGTGGTCTCCGGGGTGAGGAGATGGCGGGGTCGCGGCCAGGCTGGCCGGGCAGCCGCGTGATCTATTTCTGGTGGTGAGGAATGAGACCAGTTCACACGAGAAATCTGGCCGCAGCATGTAGCACGGCGTCGACGACATGACGTTTGTGGGCCTCGAACTACGCCTATGTCCTTCTTTCCGGAACATGAGCAGGTGAATCAGGTAATCGTGCCCGCACCTCATTCCATGCATGGATGGGACCAACGTGCTTTCATGCGTGACGTATAGTGGCACTACCAAACGTCGGTAGCTGGGTCAGCGGTGCTACTTTTGAATATTCCCCGGGACGAAACTGGAACACGGGTTTTCGTATTCACGCCAATTAACCGACCTCAATCCTCAGCTATCAAAGGCTTGTGTCGATCCCTATCGATGCTCAGCCAAGAATGCGAGTGGGTGTGCTAAAAGGTGAAATGACGATATTTGTGACAACAGCCTTCTGACGTCATTCAAGCTGTCTTCTGACGACGGGTGCAGCTCCCTATTCAATTTGGGGGGGGGGGGGGTCGCCTGACTTGGGCTCCATCCCCCTTCTACGCCACACTTTATTGTGAATTAGGCCAAATTCTGGGAGGAACCATTTTGATGGTGTGTTTTCAGGTTGGTGGATTCATTTTTCACTGTTCAGCCTCCCCAGGTCAATTTGCGAAACTAGGCCCCTGTATCTGAACTGATCCAACTGCTCGCTAAAAGTCCAGCAAAGTGATGCGATTTATCCCAATAAAAAGGGGGTGGAACCATCTGTGATCGGGCTTCTGTTGTGTGCAAGCAGCCGCAAAAATTACATTTTTGAAGGGCGGCGAGTTGGCCCTGCTATCCCACACACCTCCCGAGCCCGACCACCCGAGCACAAAACTGGGGAGCACGAACGCAGCCGGACTTGATGGAGTGCTGCATGCAGGTCAGAGGGTTCGTAAGACAAGAAGAGCCAAGACGCTCAGTGCATGCGGCTGAAACAGTGTGTTCCACAAGCACCGAGTAATCCTGAACAAGACAGCCGAGGATATGACCGTCCAGATGGGCCGAGAAAGGGAGATGGCTATTGCGACCAACGCAGCCTAAAGGGACAAATAGCGAAACAGAGCAGAGAGACGCCTGAGCCCGGGTCCTGCACCAGGCCGACTGCCAGCTCTCGCGCACATTTGCCCGAGGCGATCGCAGGACGGCAACTGAAACTGGCCGCTTCCGGTGGGAACAAGCGTGCTGTAATCGCCTGGCGCAGCGCCGTCGTCCAGTCACTGACCGCAGTGTGCGCCGGTGCTGCGGCCGGGCTGGGCGGCGCGGCCGGCTGCCTGTCGGCTTACGTCGTGGACGACGGCCAATAACGCCGAGCGATCATTTCAACGAGTCTCGCTCTTCGTCCTCGCAGCTGTCATAGGCCTTTACCAATCGCCTGGCGAAGCTGATCAAACACGGAAGAATGCAACTAAGCCTTGTGCGTCTGGACCCTTGTTCAGGCAGTGTTTTCGATGCATCAGAGATCAATTATAGCTGTGATGTGTAACTAACTTAGTGGTGCTAACCATTGTAACTTGGAAGGAGCTCCTGCACCATTTTCCAGGCAGTCAACACTCGGGGCACACCGGTGTTAAATAT